GCTTTCAAACCGGGGTTGTTTCTCGAACGGCAAAGGACAGGGTTGACTACTTTAAACCGCGACTCGAAGAAACCAGTTCGCGGGGAAAGTTGCGATTATCCACGTTGAATCATGAAGCGACGGGATTTTTCTCGCGAAATATGTATTTTTCCGCGTTCGCGACTGCTACCGTTCGGTTTGTAGTTTATCGTTACGGTGGTCGTTGGGAGGCGGGGGTTGCGTGAGGGGTGGAGGAATATTAATTTGCCTCGCGTCGCATTAACTGGTTTTTAACGAGGCCGGAAATTGGCGGTACGCGACGCGAGACGGTTGCGTTTAACAAATTAAGTTAATGCTGTTTTTGAATACATAAATAAAACCTCGCTTTACCCGGCCAATTTCACCGGGTTACGCCCGGCTTTTCCCAAAAAAGAGACGGAAGAACGGAAAAATTAATTTCCCGTCCATTGAAATTACCGTCTGTGTTCGTTCGAATTATTTCGCGTACGCCCCACTATCATTTTTCATTTTTTCGTACAATCTGATGACAGGTAATTTAGCGACGATAAAAGGCTTACGGAATAAGGACGATAATTTGTTTAATTCGCGTTAAAGTATCGCCTACCGAGTGGCCGAGTAATTTCATTTCTTTTTTCGGCGGGAAGCTTTTAATACCCGATGGTGACCGGTTTTTAAACGTTCCCGGCTGAGTCAACAATGACATTTGCCGGTGAAAATGCGCGCGAAAAAAAAAAGTCGAGCCCAGTCCACGGGTATTTAAATGGCCATTGGCAGATTACCGATATCGGAGTACTGCTTAGTTAAACGAGTTACCGCGAAAACTCAATACCGCTCGTGCAGAGAGGAACGCGTGATCGAGCGAGGAGGAGGGCTAGAAGAGCGGACTAGGAAGAGAGAAAGAGCGTGTAATCGGGCTACGAGAATCGAAGAGGCGCGATCTACCTGATGAAATCACGTGGCACTATTGCGGAACCACCGAAAACTCGGCTGCATTTCTAGCGATTTGCCAATTAATCTAGTTACTATCTCGACAACGTTAATCGCGTTTATATTTATCACCTACATACGCATTTCCATGGAGATTCGCGAGGAGTTTCGCAAGATTTTCGAAGCAGCCCTTTGAAAGCGACGTTTCTTCGTCCTTTGCGAAACACGCTCCTTCCAAAAGCTGTGAATTTTATTTTTGCGCCGCTTGGAAGATGTCTGGTGCACGCGAAAATCTCCCGAACCTCGGATAAACATTCGAGTTTGCTTGAGCACTGTGAAACATGAATGTTCAAACAGACTTTCTGTGTTTTCTTACTTATCATCACGGTAACGAAATAACGTTTATGATACGTGCTTGAGATTACCAATTTACAAAAGAAAGATAACGATGTTTCTTTGTGTTTTCTGTTTTCGATCGCATCCGCTTGCAATTAGATCGAATCTCTTTATACATTTTCCCTAAGCATCCTCGACCTTTAATTAGAGCAAATTACGATGTTGCGTGCCGAGTAAACTGGTCCAAGTCAAACACAGTCCCTTTAAAAAAAAAAAAAAACTTCAAACGGGGGGTGCGCGAGATAGATTCAGCATCAGTCCCGAGAATTCCGCGAAATTCCAAGCGAGAAGCGTCGAAAGGAAATCGCGGAATGAAAATCAGAAAGGGTGGAAAGATGAAAAAGAAAAGCGATCGAGGTCTGGTGTGTATGTGTGCATGCGTTGATGCACTACGGGGTCTGGATCAAACGCGGCCAAGTTAATTGAGCCTCGTGGCAATTACGAGCTTAGGTGGCCGCGCTTAATACATTTTCGTTTACAGAGATTTTCTCGATTCGCGTTTGCGCCCACCCGCTTGCTTTTTCGCGCCGCCTCTCGCTGCTCGGCGACCACCCTTTGAAACCGGCAGAAAGGTCCTGTAAAAAGGAAAAGATTGCGTGGAAACACGGGGTGCAGCGTGAAAGGGTGCAAAAGCGGGAAATGAGAAAATTGGGGTGGGAAGGAAATAGGAAAATGACAGAAGGAATAAGGAATTTAGAAAAATAAAGAATTAGAGGTATTTTGAATAAGAAATTGAAGGAATAGATAATTTGGGAAAGGGCGGTAGTTTTAGCGTTCTTTCGTCTCTCGGGACACGCGAAACGCTCTTTGCGACGCGTGACTTCCGGCGCCGCTGAAACGCACTCTCTCGTGCACGCGTCCACGAATGCAACACCAGCTCCCACACGCGCTATGTTTATAAAACAAAAGGCACACGCGCCGTTTGGCGGCGTTCAGGGAAGCGAGAAAAACGCTTCGCTTCGCTCGCGAGACGATAATTCCCCTGTCGCAGACGGCAACTACCGTTCCGCTTCCGCTTTTCGCTTTCTTCAAGCATTTTCTGTTTCCTTCAGAGACTCAGTCATTTCTCTTTTCTATCATCTCGTATTAGATATTTGCTTATCTTTATCACTTTTATTTTCCCTCCTTTATTGGTGTCTCAACAGCATTCCCTGTTTCGTGTTACTCACCTTCGCGTAATCCTTTTTTCTCCGCTGCAAATCCGTCTCTCGAATGCTCGTACATTTTTCTTTTTCGTGTCTCGATTTTCCCATTTACCGTCTTCCTTTTCCCCCAAGAAAAGAGGCAAGAGAGGAACGGTTGTTCGTTTTGCTGTCGCTTCACACGCGAGTACACTCAAGAGCAGCAAAATAACCGCAGAATTCTTTTTCCTCACTTTTCCTTTCTTTCTCTGAGCCTCTTTTTTTTTACCTCTCTTCGCTCAAGAAACGCGTGAAACGCCGGTTTACATCGACGAAGCAGATAGAGCAACATCGTAGAGAAAACATAATTTTTTTCCTCGTCGAAAAGGCGTTGAGAGGAGGAGAAAAATGGGTGTGAGCCCCGGGGGGTGTGTGCGTAGCCTTTGATGCCATTCTTGCTCATCAACCCCGCGTATCGTCTCCCTTAGCCCCCCAAATAGGTTTTTCAGATTAAATAAACTGTTTGCACCCTCGAAGGCAGTCGACCTTTTCCCGAACACTTGGCAAAGTGAGCGAACCATCACCATCAAACCGTGATGGTCGAATCAAAAGCCTTTCTGCGTTTGAAACCGCGGATTATACGGAATCGCTTCTTTTTTTTTCGCGCGGTCTGTTACAGATTTCCCTTCCTCTTCTCTGCGATTCACTGAAAAATGTACGCAAAAGGATTGCAAAGAACAGGAATTACGTTCCATTTACCTTTCTTGGTATATGGGATAAATTTTGAAACTAAGCATGCTTTGGTATAATTATTTAAAAAAATTAAAATTAAGATCGATAACACTGAACATTTTATGACCTGTATAATTTGTTGCTATGTTTTACAACCTCTCTTTTTGGGGGGGGCTTAGGATTTTAGTAGATACGGTGAGAATCGTTTGGCAAATTAAGAGGTTTTCAAACGATTCCCACGGCAAATTGGCAAACAACTCGGTCGACGGGACGGAATTTTAATTAGCATCTGGTCAGCCCGGAGCCAGACATTTTTAACGAATTAATTACCATCCACTTATACCTCGCGCACGCCCAATTTCCTCGTGCATTAACTACTCTATGCTGGTTATATATTCTCTTTGAGAAAAAAGAAAAAGGTGAAAACGATGGAAAATAAACAAAATCGTGAAAGAGAGGAGAGGAATCTCTTGCGCTTTAAGCATAAGAGGATACTTGATCCGCTCCAAGTGCACCGGCTAAACGCGCAACTTTTCCTCAGGGTTACGATTCGTCGATGCACGCTGCTTCTCGTCATAAAATGAAGTATAAAGTTCCTAAAGCGACTCGGGGAGAGCAAGCAAGCAAAGTGAAAGTGGTGGAAAGCATCCGGCTACGCGAAACTTTCCGCTTAGTGTTTTCCACCGAGCCGCACTTTTCGTCTTCGAATCGCTATCTTTATATTCCACCCTGATAAACCTTTATTTTCCGTTAATTTTTTTCTTATCTATATTTAGAAGATAGAAGATCTTGAATAAGAAATTTGACGAAAGGTGGGCAAACTACTTGCGAAACGACGCGTACGGGCCATTACGTTTGTCTTTGCATAATTCTACGGAATATATAATTACGTAATGCCGGTCTGAGAAGATTTAGGGGAAAGAGCCCTTTCGTAAGAGGGTTGGCGGACACTCCTTCCCTTCAACGCACGCGCAGTTACTGCTCATTGTGCGCCCTAAACGCAAAGATTATATAATGGTTTCCCAGTGGCGTAGGATTCCCGAAAAAATACACCCTGCGTTAGCTAATGTTGCTCAACAAGTTGCAATAAATAAAAATATTTCGTTCTCAGTTTGATCGCCGCGAACTACTTTCAACCCCATTTTAATAGTTTCTTTTCACACGCCCATCGGTCACCAATAGACCCAAGTCATTAACCAATATAATTTGGAGTAGAAAGAAAAAAGCGCAGCTGGGAGCAAAACAAGCGATCGAAATACCTGGTGCTCCCCTAATCGGCCAGCTTTCGGAGTTACAGTCGCAATTTTGGCCCACTCGTCCTACTACTTTGCCCCTGAATAGCTTCCTCTTCTACTTCGCGTTCAAAGTACAAAGGAAGAGAGGAGGCTGGTGAAGCGGTAGAGGATGAAAATGAAGTGTGTAGTGGCGTGAAGCAACAGCTAGCTGTTTGTAGCTCGTTCAGTTTTAAGTTTGTCACAGTTATAAACGTGACTGCGGGGAAAGTGGGTTGAACGAAGTTCCACGATACTTCCTGGGTGGCACGGTTCGTCGAACAGCCACTGATGCAGTCGCCGAGGAAAAGAAGATTCACAGAGAACCTTCTATCTCTCGAACGGATCCAGAGATCGTCGATTAAACCCCGTAATGCTGGAGAGGGGTAGCGCAATCCTTTTCTGTTTTCTTTTTCTTCTTTTCTTCGTTCAGTCTGAAACAGATGGAAGATAAAGAGAAGAGCAAAGGGGGTAGAGATAATCTTGGCGGGAAAACTTGGGGGTCGGATAGGATTGGCAGGTAGAGAGGGGGGAGTAGGTGGATCGGGGCATAAAAGTTGAATAAATCTGGAAAGGAAGAGAGAAGAGGGGTGGCGGGTCCGCTCTGCTCGGCTTCAAAGCACGTCAAAGAGAGAGGAACTTCGCGGTCCTAAGTGGCGTGCAAACAAGACCAAGACGATAACTTTATTTACGCAGCTTTATGCACCGGGTGTCTGGAAAAATGACTTTTATACCTCTTCTCTTTCTATTCCTACGCAGCGTCTCTTCTGTGTGCCACCCTTTCGCCTAAATTCTCACGCCAACAGCAATTTTGTTTCCCGGCTATGACGGTCGTGATAAAAACTGGGTTAAAAGACGGGACAAAGAGAAGACGAGAAGAATGAGAGGGAAAGAGTTTCCAACCGGTAGCTACCCCTTTGACGACGCGGAGAACAAAGACATACACCGTGTGTATGAAGCAGGGTTGAAGGAAGAGGGAGCACGAAAGAAAGACGGCAATGGAACGATGAAAAGGAATGGATGAAGAACGATGAGGATATAAAGAGACAAAGATAAATCGTATTAACGCCTATCTTCGAGCCCGCACGTACACACTTGGCCACCCCGTCCCTCCTCTTTGGACAAACGCAAGTGTGTCGTGTACATAGGGGATACATAAGTGGCCGTCTATATGGGCGCGTACGGCCGAAGGAGGCCAAGATACAGGAGGTGTTCTCTCTCTGTTTGCGTGTTTAGAGGTATTTGCACATTCCATAGGTGCACAGAGACAGAGAAATCTAAACGCGTACACGCGGGGATATATTTAAATAGAGGAGAGGGTGGGCGCGTGTAGGTGTAAGGGCGGCAGATAGGTTTGTGCGAAACGTCTGCATGCGAGTCGGTGGACGCAGGCGCCGGTAGCCATGGCGACGATTCCTTCGGATTGGCCGCAGCTTCCACTTGAATCCCCGGCGTCGACCCCCGCAGCCGGCCTCCGGCTCTGACGTACTATCCGCCACCATCGATAACCCCTCTGGCTCGCAGCTCTCTCTCGGCCACCCCCGTCCACAACCACCCCGTCTAACGCTGCCTGCCTTCCACCCTCTCTCGCTTTCTCTTCGCTCCTTCCTCGACCACTCCTCCCTCCTTCTTCTTCCTACCCGTCTTACCTACCCCCCTTCTCTATTTTCGATCATGCTTTCCTTCCTGCCGCACTCTCCAAGATATTCGACGAGGAATCTTATGGGTTTTCGAGAATCCGACCCGAAGTTTATTGGATAGTTTCTCGAGGGGGTTGTTTTGTTTTTTTCTTGGAAATTTTATTTTTGACGAGATTCGATAATTCTCATTGTTCAGAAAAATTTAAATAACATTCCGACGCGTAGAGAGTTTTTCAATCGATGTAAAAACTTCAACAGTTTCACATGCCAGCGATTAATTAACTGCAGTGCATTACCAGCGTTATTAGCGTCCAGCATTCACGACACTGCCACAATAGATAAGGCTGACCACTTCCACGTGTGTGTGGTCACCACACACGCGTTTCCTTCTGCACGCGGTCAGGTGAAACGCCGCTCGAACCAATTAACATTCTATTAAACTCAAAGGAGTACGTGGTTTCTTACCTGACCCTTTCCAACCCCTCTACAGTTACATTTTACTTTGCGTGTCTTGATGCAAAAACATCGCCTGTTGCTCTCACCGACCGTTATTGAACTGTCGAGATACTTCAGATTAAAAATATCGACGAATAATTATATTTGATGGACGAAAGTTTTCTTTACTCGAACCATTCGCTTAATTCGATTTTAATGCGCAACAATTACGGTGATGAATTAGCGTGTTAAAGTCACGAAGTATCATTTGTCTTTCAGATATGATTTACAGATTATCGCGTGGATTCGTGCCATCAATCATTATTAATGGAACAATGTGCGATTTATTTCGAAGTGCATACTAAACAGAAATTGCATAAATCTAGAATCATTACTGATCGTTGTTCGATTAGGAATCTTTTCTAATCCATCAATTTATCGATACATTTTTTTTTTTTATCTATTCGAGGATTTACAAATTGTTACAGGCTTTCGTGGTGAAATTGCGAATCGCGATTTTAAAGCGGTAACTTCGGAAACGAGATTGTTCGTTGCTCCACCGTCGGTATAATGATTACGCGTTTTCCACCCTCGCGCTGTCGATGGTGTAAATGCGTTTCCGCCGGAGAGCCACGCAGTCGTGTTTCGTGGCTGGGAACTAACGAATATCCACATCATTCGTAATCACCGTATAGAACAGCGTTCTCTCTCTTTTTTTTAAATATACATACATAGCCGGCGAGAAAAATGCGGTTAAATCGTCGGCCGCTCGTGACGGAATAATGGTAAACGCGCGAACGGCGGCTCGGTTGTTTAATTCGAGGCGAACGAAAACAGGCTTTGCGTCGGTGGTTATATCGAAAAAAGCAAAAAATAAAAGAGAGAGAGAGAGTATGTGGAACATCAACGCGTTGAATAAACGGGAATACTATTTGAAACGATGAAGGCGCGACGATTTTCCACGTTCAAGGCGATTCGGATAATTATCGTCGCGCTTTCCTCTCGAAATTATGAGGAAATCGTCGCGATTACTCTTTAAAGAAAATATTTTAAATTCATTTTCAGCCTCATTTCTTTAGATACTTATTTCTCCAATGTATGAAAAAATATTTCTTTGATTTGAAATTTTCAAATAATGCAATCAAAATCACAGCCACGAAATTTTCACAGCGTTTACGTGCTCGGCACACTTTGCACAGCCGCATCCGTACGCGTCCTCTGCATAAACGCAGCGGCAGGTTAATTATCGTGCTAGCTTCCGGCTCGCATTCTCCGCGAGATCTCGACTGGATGATTTCGGTGTCTAGCTTAATTGCTCGGCGCGCTTGCTTCGCCTCCGTTGCGACGAAATTATCAAAATTTCCTCACGGCTCTTTATCGCGCGCGCACGTGTGCGTGTACACGAACCAATTTGTCGTTCGACCAGTTGCTCCGCCGCGAACAAAGAAACGCGCGAAAAGGTACATGGTCGGGATGGTACACGTTTTGATGGCGATGCGCGTCGCTCGTTAATGAACGCGTGCAGTCGATAATTTAAAGCAGCCATGGAAAATGAGTTGAAAGCAGGCGCTTTGCTCGATACCGAAAATCAAGCCTCCGCTTCGTGCTCGAGGGAGAAGAAATAAGGGAGGGAAAGAGGTTCATAGAAAATTTTGCTATAATTGAAGCTCGAAGAGGTCGATGACCCGAGCAATTTCTCCTTTCTCCCAGAAAATTGTTATAAAGTGATTTTTCAAACTTTGACAATTTTTTTCAATCAATCTTCGTCTACATAAAATTAGAATATTTCATTCGATGGAACGTCGCGAGGTGTGCAGTCGTCTCCCAATGGTCCATCGACCATTAGTACATAGCGCGAGGTGAGGAGTAACGCGTTTGCAAACCTCTAGAATTACCGGTGCATAGTAATCCAATCCAATCGAATGCGGACGATGCGAGAGGAAACGATGCAACCAGACTTGGAAAAGAATCGTCGAAGGATCGGTGGTACCGAAATGGTAATTCGTGTAACGTGAGAGTACGCTGATCCGAGATGCGAGAACGTTCGATACCGGAAACGAGGATGCTCGAGGTGATGGCTCTCGCCTGTGGCTATTGTGATGCTCGATGAAACGAGCCTGAATATTCGACGGGACAAAACGTGCTGTTCAAGTAAGATACAGTGTTAAATATAAAAAACATTTGCTGAATAGAGAAGTATTGTTTTTACGTTGAGAATGTAAACTTGAAAAGGTGTGAAAGATGATCGAAAATGGGGCACAGGGACAATCGGAGACTCGAACAATTTAGTAGAACACGATTTTTACACAATTATAAGAGACAGGATTATTCGATTGCTCGTCGACAAAGCGAGGTAAAATTGCCGGAAGAATGTAAAGATGGACGGCTAGATTCATATAGAAGTAAAAGGGGTGCGTGGGTGGGCGTACATGGACGAACCATGTAGAGTCAGGTAGGTTGGTAAATATGTGGGTCGTAACTAGGAAGCTGTGTACGCGAGAACCGTGTCCGGATAGTCGTCGACTTGGAAAAAAGAGAAAAAGAAAAACGTGAAAATCAGGTATACAGTGTCGGCCATATACGTTGTATGCTCGGCTTAAATGTGCACACTCAATTATTTCCCAAGGTAGGTGTATCCAAAGCACAGGATGGGAACAGCATCGTTGCTCTCGAATACTTTAATTTCACTTTAATCTTCTTTTCTAAACGAACAAAATGGAGGAGTTTTAAAGACTTCAGAAAATGTGTAGCCATCCAGGTGTTGATCTCTTGAAAAATTTCCTTTTATATTAAATTCGGATATTTTTCAAATTTTTGATTTAAAAAATCATAGATCAAATATTTACATAAAAGTCGTAACGATTGTTCTACAGGATACTCGATGAACGAGGATGCCTCACACGTGGACGTACGATTAATCTTTTGGGCAATTGGTTTTTCCCGGTTGTAACCAAAAAATTTCTATCCCTTTTTCAAGATATTTTTTTTTACTCTTCCCTTTATTTTGGGGCCGTCGCTGGAATCGATATTCGAAGGGAAATCACTGCGGGAAACGCGCGCGTCCGCTGTGTTGTTTTTACAAAATCCTCCAAACGGGAAGCTTTTTCGTTTCAGCCACGAATCACAGAGGGTGTGAGGAGATGAAACACAGGTGGGGAAGGGTGGACGAGGGGTTGTGGCGGAATGTGAGGGAACGAATTTCGAAGCGTGACGCCGGTAATGATTTATTTTTCCGAATTTAGAGAGCGGCACTGCATTTTTCCCGAATTTATTAAAGGGTCACGCAACGCGTGGCGTGTGTTTAATTGAAAAAGCTCCCAGACCCGAGCGAATTTAGCGTTAAATAATTGTTGTGTTTTTCGACGCGGCCCCGGAACACCAGTAATTTCGGGCGAGAAAAAATGCAATCTCGTTCAATATTTGCGGTCGTCACGGTTTTTAAAACTGTTATTTCATCGTTCCAATTTTTAACCCTGAAATTTCGTAACAAAAAATGCATTTCCAGCTATTCACGGACAGTATTGAACGTTGTTATTTCGTTGCAGTACCCAAACAATTTATTAATTATTCAAACAGAAATATGATATTATAATATTTTTCGAACGATCTTTCAATGATACTTTTTCTGGATAGCTGTTAACCTTCAAAAAAATTGCAGTGTTTATTCGATGACAGTGGAATTTATAGATTAAAAATCTTCATTCGTGGAACCTTACATCGTTTACCGTTTCAACTCCGCAATTATTTGAACTCCACAGAGAAGTGAAAGCTCGTGAACGAAAGAGGGCGAGAAATCGATCCGAATAGTAGAAGGGTTTGAATAAGGAATCCCGTTGCGCGTCGTTCTCGCAAATATAACCATCGAGAGATAAATACCCGAAAGCATATAGGGGTGAAAGATACACACGCTAGTAACTAGTCGGACAAACAAGTAGTAGAAGGCACAGTTTAAAGTACAACAACAGCAACAACGTCCACCGATCGTGTTTCCTGAACGTGGTCGTTCGTCGTGGAACAGTCTTTCCACCCCTCCCTACGATTCCAACCGCCCCCACCAAACGCCACAACCACCCCCTTCGAACATGCTCCGCTCGGCAGGAACCCTCTCCTCTGCAACCCTCGTGGCATGGCCCTGGTAGACCGAACGAACGAGGGAGAGAACCCTTCCTCTCTACCCCCAGAGTGCCTACGCCTCCCGCGTTGCCCCGGCAACCCCAGCTTGGGGTTGGCCTCCGCCTCCTCCGTGCTCTGCAGCTCCATTCACGGCGACCCCCTCCCTCGTCCCTTTCTCCAACAGTTTCTCCTCGTTCTACGACTCCGAGAGCAGCCTGTTCCTCTTCCACCCTTCTCTTTTCGACCACCCTGAAGCAGCTCCGACTGCTTGGTCCAACCCCTCGCCCGCTTCTTCTTCCTCGTCTTCTTCTTCTCCGTTCTTCTACTAGCGTCGTTTCAAGGAACAGGTGAGAAAAGAACGGAAGAAACACGATACGACTTGGTTATGATCATGCGTATGGGGGTGGAAAAGGAATAGGGGAGGTTGGAGGAGGATGTCAGAGCTCCTCTGGAAGCCAACCGGATTAACGTATCTCGAATAATTTGTATACAGTCGCTATTATACAGGGTGTCCTGTAGATAATGGTACGAAAATTCTTGATGGAAAAATAAAATAAGAAATGTCGGATTTAATTAAAATTAAAATTTTATGCTTGTGTATATGAAAAGAAAGGAACCAATTTGTGTTTCAACCCTGTTGATCGCATAGGGTGAGATCGTCTGTGGCGAGCGACCAATGGCTAAAAGACGTTGTTATCGTTGCTTCCCGGTTACGTGTTCGCGCTGTATTGAGAAAATATTATCGATCGAGGAGGCGCGCGCGCGAGCATCCACCTACTCGCTTGCGTGGGTGGTTACCGCCCGCGGGGAGTGAACGTGAGAATTTCAACGTGGTCGATCCGCTTCCCTCGTCGTTGAAACGACGATGCGCAGTTCGGAGATGTAAGAGGAAGGGGTGGTTCCGGGGGTTGCAGGTAATCGGGGAAGGAAAGTCGAAAGGGCAAATTGGGATTGTTAACTCGTGCGGTGAATGCGTGAGTTGGAAACGTGGCGGAAGTGTTTGCGCGCCATGTGAAGTATCTGCCAGGAAATATTTTATAGGAATACAAGAAAATTTTCTTTGATTTATTTAATTTCAATTTCGATTTCTCATTTGAAAAATTAAGAAACGACCCTTAAATGAAAAATACAAATATAACAGCCATTTCAGAAGATAAAAGCCCCATCTTCTTCAGCTTTCTTACCGTCTTCCCGGTCTACCAAACGAGGGTTTACCATCGATTTAACCCCCTTCGTGGAAAAGACGATGTTTCCCTTTCGTAAGAAGCCTCGCAAATGGCTACACGCGACTCCTTCAACCGGAAGATCGAATCTGAACGTCGTTCAGCCTCTTACGTGGCGTCAATTCGATTCACCCTATTTTCAGATAGAAAAAGCGACGGCGGAGCAACCGTGCCACCCTTCCATCGGCGTTGAAGCAGCCGCGTAACATCGTAAGAGAGACTGCTCGGCAACGTTAAGAGGGTTGTCGCGTTTCGGGTTTGCAGGTTGGCGCGGAGAAAAAGCCCTCCCCTACCTTCCTCTTTTCTTCTGCAGTTGACACGCACGTGAAAATTCGATTCGCTCGGCTGTAGCCCCGATGTACCGGGGTTGAAGGTGCAACGCGTCACCAGAGAGGGTGTACTCACCCTCCTTTCGTTTTGAAGCTTGTATCGCAGGAAATTTAAATTCTTCAGGGATTGACGTATGGCGAAAACATATAGTGAGTTAATATTTTAAACCAGCACGTTTGAAATCACTTTGTTCAACACAGCAGATCTGGACCGTGCGTGGTACGACATTCGTCAGCGTGGCTCTCCCACGGAAATCGTTTGACGCTTTTGATCCGTTCGATTGAACGCGGCGTGATTGAGTTATTAACAGCTGTGATGCTTGCTTCATTTGAGAATCCTTTGTACACGGGTATCCGTGCCTACGCTGCAACGTTATAAGAAAATTACATAAAATAATTTTTGATAATCGTGCGCAATCGAGCGAACACGAAATCGTAGTTATATTTCATCGTTAAAAGGAAAAAGAGGCGTGGAAGAAAAAAATGCAGCTGGTGCCCCTGTGGCGCGACACTGCCCACACCCTGAGAAGGAAACTGGCCGTACCCGTTTTCTGATCAACGGTTTTAAGTCGGGGAAAGTGGCGAACGGGAAAGGTGCCGCGTACGTGTATGCTATGCACAGATTTTCTTCGCCGTGCCACGATGTATGCAGCATTGCGGTTCGTATAACTTTTAATTGGGTTATCTGTCCCGGAACACCGTCAATCCGCGCGGTTATAGGCCCGATACAGAAAGCTTTTCCATGTACCGCCAGTGACCCGAATGAAACTGTTTTAAAGACGGTAATCGCGTATCTGAACACGCCCTTTTCCTAAACCGCCATATCGTGACAAGCGAGTATCGACAAGAGTGAAATTAATAACGCTGTCCTCCTGCACTGATAACCTTGTGTTCGCGAGGGTGAAATCATGCGTACAGTATTTCCAGGGCGTTCGTTAGAGAAAGGGTTAACATTTTGATATCCGGTGTCCTATATTCCTGATTTTGACGTATCAATTTTTACCTCGTTATATTTCACCTTGTTTTCATCTACTCTATGATATACCAATTAAAATAAAAAAATTAATAATTTTGCTACGTACATAAATAAAAACTTATTAAGATGAAATGGCGAAAGTCAAAGATTTTGCGAAGCGTATTATATTCTACCGTACACGCGTTGTTACTTGAACGATTGAAAGGCTGTATGTGAATGGGCCTTTAGGTCGGATCGTGGCGTTGGCTGGCGGTAACAGCGTACCTCGAATTCCGGACGTGGAGGAGACAACGAACGCGCACCGGAAAGTAATCACGCATACAGCAGCCGGGTACAGAGGCCGATCGATTAGCCTGTATCCGCGCCTGCTGCCGCGCACCGCAACTACGTGACAAATATTATCGCGATCGACCGACCAGCTGCGTTTGATGTGGACGCGTTTATGAAATGCCGACACGCCGATAATCATGCGCGGCCAGCGCCCAAGGCTAAATCCGATTTGCAATATTAAGCCGCCCCCGCCTCGCCGTCCCAGCCGTCCCGCTAAACGAGTCCACCTTTTTCGGCCCTCTCCTAATTAATCCGTTCGATTGAACCCTTTCGAGGGCTTCCGGCAATCCTTCGGTCGCGTGCTCCAAGATGGTTCCTTTGTATCAAAAGGGAAATTCTCGAATTATGTAAGAATTACATTGATCGCAACGCGTAACGTCAACATTGATGCGTAATCAAAAAGCAATATAAATGCTTCAGGGTCTGCTTAGAGCAAACGATAAGTATTGCGTAAGAGGATTCGTTTGAAAAATTTATAACCGATATAATTCCTCCGGAACGTTCGATTCATCGATGGAGTTGAATTACCGCGTTTAACATTTAACATCAGGCCATTACCGATGGACAACAAAAACGCGGACCGAATAGAGAGACACTCGAGCTTAATGGAAACGCGGAGCATCATCGAAGTTCGCGCAAAGGCAACATTCAATGCGACGTTATCACCGTCGATTTCAATTAATCGTTCCATCAAAATGAATAGATACCAAAGAGGTCAGCTCTTCGGCATATTTTTTTTTCTGCTCGATAATCAAAGGCTGGAATGTTAGAGACCGGAGCCAACGAGTCTAATAACGTTGTTACACGCAATGAAGATCCTCGTGTTCTTCGTTTTCGCGTACAGTCCTCGGTGAAATTCGCCAAATGGATTGCGGTGCTTCGATTTAGTCGAGCGTGGAGCTCGTTGGATCCCCAAAGCGTCTCTGATCGCTCGTTTCTTCCATCCCCTGTAAACGTCTGTGAAATATATTCGAGGAAACATCGATGCTCGGAGCGCTGATCTTTCGCTCCAGTTGCGAAAAAAACCTGTCTCTCTCTCCCTCGTGCAAATTGGAGCACCGATAAACGTGCCTCGCTCGATCACTCCCTTTCCAAGGGGCACATTTATTCCGGTAACTGCGTTCTGCGAGACGGAGACAGGTGCGCTCAACCCCTCGTGTGTGCTTTCACGAGTTACAATCAGGTTCGTGACTGGTGGTGATCGTTAAAATGCGAGGAATTACTTGTTTGATACGAAACTGAGATAAAGGAACACGTGATAACGCCAGGTAACTGGGATTAGAAAATCATGAAATAAATATGTACTTGGCGATTGTTACTTTCAACGGTATCGTAGCTGAAGCGAAGGCGCATCCTGAAGCACTTTCGAAATAGGTCATCGATTCACCTTAATCTCTTGATTCACTGTTCTTTGAATCAAAGGTTCCTACCTCAAGGTACTGTCAATGCCAGTCACGCAGCCAGGCCCAAACAAGCTGCTCCCCGTACACATACTTAGCCTAAGTAACGGAGAAGGGTCACGCGTGGACCGTCCTCGAACGAGGTGACTGTACATTCGACGCTAGTGATACCGTCTTCGTTCCGCTCACGGAACGCTCCTACTCTTCGTCGCCCTGTCGTCGTTGCTCGTGTCTTCTCCAGCTCTCTCTGTCTGTCTCTTTCCGTTGCGAGGTTGCCCGCCCGCCCGTATTCTCGTTCTCTCGCTCTATCCGCCAGCCGCCCGCCGCCCGCCGCCTCCGCCCCCGTGGCATACCAACCAACGAGCCGGGGCCGCTTTCGCTTTGTGCGCGCCGGGGCGGCGGTACATCAAAGCCTTCTAGTTCCCGCTCCGGCCTTTGACGGCTGCGTCGCGGCCGTTCGCTCAGTCATCGCTCGGTAGGCGAAGCCGGCACGCCGTGGATGAACGGTCGCGCGCGCGCCAACGGTCGCCGAATCCGTGGGATTCGCAGCCTCTGGCTAACCAGAAGATTTCTCGATCGCGGAAACGCGACCGTCGCCGCTGGACGATGTCGCCTCGTGGCAGCAAGTGCACGCGCCTCAACAAAGCGGCTGCGAAAGGTCGACCTGTGCGCCATCATCATCAGCGACCGACCTCGAACCAGGCCACGCGCGTCGACGACGACGAGGAGACGACGGTCATCGACGAGAACAACACTTTCGCATCGGAGACAACTGACAGAACCACGGCCACGGCTACCACGACGAACAACACCAAGACCAGGACGAGTAAGTCTGCGGTGGCAGCGTGCGAGGGTCGATCGTCGTGGGCGACGCGCATGCGCCAACCCCTGGAGAGTAGCCTCGAGCCCCGTGAAAACAGCACCCTGATGCAACCATGGCCGACCAGACAACGCTGCCACGATCAACTCGTCGAGGATCGCCCCGACGATACTAACCACCACGGAGATGCTGCGGTCTCATCCACGTCGTCGTTGTCCTCACCCGCGTTCTCCTCCTCCACCGACGCGCTGTCTCGTCGATCGACGTCCCCTCCGTCGACCACCTCGTCGCCGGTACGTTCCAGCTCACCAAACTCGATCATCTCTCAGGAGAAGCTTTCGAAGGAGAACGAACAGGTGGAGGAGAAAAGAACTGTGGATTCGAGGCGGTACATCGGCGATCAGGATCGTATCAGACGGTGGAAGCAGGAGAGACAGTGCTCTGTCAGATCACGCGGGGTTAGAGAGAGTGTCACTGAAAAATCATCCACCCCAGTGGTCACGGCATCGTCGGCGATAGCCTGCGTATCCACATCCTCGACGATATCCTCACCTTCGCCGTTCTCTTCTTCCGTTTCCACGACCTCGGACCGAGTGATCGACCAGTCGGCACAGGGCAGCGTGAAAAGTTGTCCACCTGTGTCGCACTCGTCGGTAATCGAAAGTTTGAGAAGTGCTCTGGAGAGTTACGATCGCAGCAGAATCTACCTCGCACATGTGTCCTTCCTGGATTGGCGGGACCTACCAGGACGACGGCGCGCCACCGTCGTCCCAGCTGGAGACGCTGAGAGGGTGTGGGTGGTGGGGGCGGCTGATCACGAGGGACACCACAGGACGCGATTGCTGGTAACCGGTCGCCACTGGCGACCACGTTGCTTGAGACGGGTGAACATGTTGAGCCAACCGGTGATATACGCTGGTGGGGGCAGAGGATCCTTGACGGTGGATCTCTTTCTTTGGTGGTTCCATCGAGAGTTCGCCGTGACGGCAATGGCCATGCATCCCGATGGTGCCGTGTTAGTCGCCGAGAGTGCGGACTACCTGCCACCAGAAGCTGACTGCATTGCTGCCGACGGTTTGGTCAGACTATTCGTAGTGCCGAAAGATTGCCTGGAGATGAGGATCGTCGTTAGGGAACTTCGAGTTAGACTAGCCATCGGGCTACTTTCCCGAGCTTCCTGCAGCGTTTATCGTACATTCTCTAACACGTCGAAAGACATCGATCCCTTAACTGGTTACCTGAGAAACTTTACTCTGAAAGAGGCGTTCGCCGATCTGCATCGCGCCTGGCTGAGCATCAGGTCGGAGACGTTCGCTCGCAGTTGGACGTTGCCGCGCGATCGCGAAGACGCGTCTGGTAACATCGGTCCGTCCTTGTCCTCGCGGATTCACGCGTCACCCGACGAGGAGGAGGACAGAATGCTGCTGATCGAGTTGCAGAACGTAGCTAGGGAAGTGGGTCTGGAGGTCAACGACGACGAGCTGAGCAAGTGGATCCTCGACGAGGAAAGCGATCTTGCGCGATGCGTCAGGAAGTTGGAACTCGAAGAGGATCATTGCCGCGTGAAGATCGAGGCGGATGAGAAGTGGGCCGATTACGATGGTGGGGAACAGCAACAGGAGGAGGATGAAGAGGAAGAGGACAAAGAAGACGAGCCGAGCGCGGAAGAAACTGTCGGTCTGCTGTCGAGGGTGCTGACATGGATGGAAAGGGAGCCTCTCGATCCGGGACTATTACTCGCCGTCAGATCGATGCGCGATACTGCCGCACTCATGGTAAGCACCGACTGATAAGAGACAACCACTCGAGCCTATCGATCGTCTCAGCCGTCGCCGCCGCGACGCGAAAACCCCCCTTAGGAAAAGAGGGAGCGACCTTGCGAAATTCGCGCGGCCAGATTGAACTAATTCTCCATCGAACGTTAGAAGAAGAGGGACTAGGAAGGGACGCGACGAGGAGGCTGAAGGGCCCACTTGAATTCGGCAATACGTCGTCGAGCCGACGGACGGAAAAGCCGAACGGGAACGAACCCTCGAACGTTCGAGGATCGCGTTCGCCGTCTTTGCAAATTAATGCTCGAGCTCGTCCTCGATAACCGTTCCCCCTTCGAGAGTTTATTGAATTGTATATTATATTTCCTCTCCGAGGGCATTTTACTCCTCGTGGACCATCCTCGGATCGACATGGAAATATCATGCTAATATCTATGTTAAACAGGGAGAGAAACGGAAATGGTACTCCAGAGCCGATCAAAGAATCGGATACTTTTTTGTTGGATCATTAGGCTATTTATTTCGTCAAAGGTATATTTCTGTGCCCTTGTTACTCTCCATCACTCGGCTTTCAATTAAACATGAAACATTTACTATTTATACTAAATATACTTCACTAAAAATAAATTCGAATATGTAAGGAACGCTAAATCAAGGATCGAGAGAGATATTAATTTCAATCACTTTGCACAAAACACCTGTCGTCGGTTCCGGGGCTTCAATTAATTATTTCATATCCCTGGGCTGTCTACTAATTATCCAGCTGCATTAACGATGCATTAATTAACACAATATTAATTAATTACTTGATAACGATAATGTAGCGTGGACAGGGAAGGCTGCTATACCGTTTCAAAACTTGCCTTGCTGTACCTATATTGGTTTTTCTCTCGTTTATGCTAACCGTATTTTTTGGTTGATTTATAGGCGAGCAAGATGGGCCTGGCGGGGACGCATCCGAGCGGGTTGCCTTTCTTCTGCCCCAATGGGGACCACCTGACCCAACCACCGCCTGCTCATATGGGAATTCCACCTTACGGAACGTTGGACGCAGGCAAAGCTGCTGCAGCGGCTGGTGAGTACTTAAAAAACTCTGAACGATTACAAACGTTTTAATTAAATGAACAATCTTCGTATTTATAAATTTCGTTAAATAAAAAATAACAGAAAGTTCCCTTAACCACTTCCGGAGATCTCAGGGTTCACAATATGAATGATGTCTTTAGCTCTCGAGGCAAATTGAAAAAAAAAAGAATCATCTTTCGTTGTTGATAGTCGTGCAAACATTGATATTCCTACGGGGTCCTAATTGAAGAATTATTTCTTATCGAGTCAAGGGTCCGCCGATGCTGAGGCTCGAAACGGGGTTGTAGAGAACGAGGCGTCCCCAGAGAGGTGGAAAGATGGTGAAGAAAGAGGAAACGAGGGAAAAAGAAAGAGATAGAGTGAGAAAGAGGGATAGAACGGAAGTGGTAGTAGTGGTGGGATAAGAGAGAGAGAAGTGAGGCTCGCGAACTGGCGTCAAGTAGGAGAATAAGAGGAGGACTCACCATTAGGCTAATCAGCCAGGCATGCGGCCTCCCTCTGGCGCCGGGTCAAGGGGGTTTCAACCCGCCTGTCTATTTCTACAGCTTCTCTCCTTCCAACCCTTGTTGCACCCGCCTCCGAGACCGCCTCCCCCTCCCTTTCGAACCCCTCGCTATCAACTAAAGGGTCCACTCTAATACAACCACAATACTATCAATTTACAAGAAAATAGATTTTTAGGAAAAATAATCTTCTTACACCAAATTGTAACTGTTTCGAGTGGTAATTAAGAAATTGTAATATTACATTGTTAGAAGAATTTATATATTGAATTTTTTATTATCTGGAAACAGTATCGGAAGTCTGATCCGACGCTTTTGAATCGTATTTAAAAATTCCTGGAATCAAAGGAACGGTGAAACGAGAGAAAGAACATCCCCCGTTTCCAGCGCATAACGACACCAACAGAAGCTCACCCCCCTTCTCGGCGACGATAACGCTAATTACGCTCCATTACTCCACAATACGTTTCCCGTGGTTGTCGTCAGAGGAAATAAAATCCCTGAAAGAAAACGATTCTAATTCATCTCTCGCTTCCTCGTCTGCCTCTCGAGATATCCTCTCAGCCGTTTCGAATCTTTTCTAATAATTTACAATAAATGATACAAGATTTTATGATTTATTTTTGGTCCAGTTAGATTGGTCACTGTGTTGATACAGAGGGAAGCGGGCTGAAGTCTCCGGATGTGTTTGCGCGCGCGCTATCTTTCTATCCTCTCCTTCTGCCTCGGGCCACCCCCTCTCATCCCCCTGCAGTTCCTGGAATATGTAGATGGGGTTGATAGCGTTTATGCACGACTACGAGTTCGTACGGCGGCTCGGGTTCTTTGTCTTGCAAACGAGCGAGCATTTTGTCCCTCTCCCCGAACCTCTACCTTCCTTCAACCATACCCCTCTGGCTCGAGTTCACCCTCTTTCCTTCCCTCTTGCTCTCAGAACGAGGCGATCTCTGTCTCTCTTTCAATGTTCTCAACGCTGTTCAGTCACCACCCACTCACTTCGTTCTCTCGTGCTACGTAGCACCACCACCTCCCTCGTTCAATCCCTCCCTCCTCACCCCCCGCTTTCGGCCTCTTCATCCTCCTTTCCATCCTACTTCTTCTTCTTCTCCTTCTCTGTCTATTTTCCACCTGTACCACTCTCGATCTCTCGGTCCTATTTTGCTCTCTGTCGTTCGTTCGAGAGAGTTTCCAGTGTTCGAAAGCCCCGTAGAGTCCACGAAGCCAACCCCTACCGCGTCGCTCTCTCGCTTTCACGAATATATTTCTAATTAGCTCCACTTTTCGATCTCCGCCGCGTGTTTATTTCAGGATTCCATGGAAGTGTAGGCGGAAGGGAAAGATAGGGTGATGGAGAGAGAAGGAAGACGGAGGGTTGGGGGTTGGGATAGGATATGGAGGGTTGAACAGAGAGAAGAAACGACGATCCCGGCGTTTCGCCGGGGCTCCACCATTGATCCGCTTAATTTTTCTCTCCTCTCGCCACCCCTGCCGCCGGCAATTTTTCTCTTTTTTTTCCCTTCTGCGATTATGAGGCGTTCCTTCGTTTCCCTGATCTTCCTGCCCCCCTTTTTTTTCTAGCATTTTTCTGGCACTCTTGTCTCTCGGTCCAACTCGTTTCTCGTTCTCTTTTTATTTTTAGTCGTTGAGTTTAATTTACTTGATTGACTTTTCAGTAGAAGAATAGTGTTTTTTTTTTTATTTTTTATTTCTTGTAATCTTCACGAAGAAAGTCTTGCGATAATAATCTAATAAGTAGTCCACGAATGAGACAATTAACGAGTCTACCCGTTCCTCTCACACCAATATCAAGGATCTATACTTCGTCAGCTTCTCCCCCATGGTGATACAACCTCCCGGAAGAATAACCTTCGCAGGAGACCTGCGTTCAACCTGCGCACTCGAGGGGCACTCGAGGTCCGCTTACAAGGAGGATACGTTCAAGTGGTATTTTAACACTCGAACGAGAGGAAAAGTGTATTTACGTCGGCGCGAGGCCGCGATACGCGAGAAAAGCTCGACAAAGATGTCAAAGTGACCGCTTGAACCGGCGAGAAAAACTGGAGAACCTACTCGTGAAGGATTATGTACTCGAAGAATTGTCAGCTACCGGCGAAAGAAGGCCAAGTGGTTCCTGCACGACAGGGAGGATGCACAGGGCTGGCTATGATATACACCCTTCCATCTCTTTCCTTGTTTGATGTTCTATTATGCGCATTAGTCAATCGACGACTGCGTTCGTTTGCTTTAAGGGGGTGAAAAGAGAATCGAAATCTACATTAAATTTAGATAATAACATCTTCGGCATTGATAACAATTTCTAATTAAAACTTCGAGTGGAAGATCCGACGATTCTAACAGCGATACGTTCCATAATATCCACATCGTTAAAACTTCATGATCCCCAGGATCTTCTAAATAATCCCCTATCTCCATACGTCGTCCCTTTGTCGATTCCATCCCCCGGAACCCTGTTTCCTTCCCCACGAAGACGCACACGGTTCCTCGTTTCCGGCTGTAACCACGAGCGAGTAAATGTTAACGATAGTCTCTAATAGAGCGAAATAGAGGAGAATAGGGGGTTGAAGGTAGTCTTTCTCTGTCTCCGTCTGTGAAAAAAAAAAAAAAGTCGAAAACCATCGAAGTCGTCGACCGGCGGGAAGGAAAGGAAGACAGAAGCATGGAAACCGGCGGGACACGGGACGAAGGGTGGAAAGACAGAGAATATCGCGGTATACGGAACACCGGGAGCTCGAGTTGTTCGAGAATAAAAGAGTAATTTTCCGGGTGGTGAGACCCCGATAATGGGGTTGCAGACTGCCGAGTCGACTGGAAAGTGATTAAGCACACATGACGGAGCCCGTGGACTCGTCAGGATATTACGAGCCACCCCTTTCAACCCACCTCTGCCGTCCTTTCTCTCCTCCCTTTCCACCCTCTCCTTCCCTTATATCATCCACCTTCTTCTGCTCACCTACACCCGCCGCGGTTCCTACCTCTAATTCCTTCGTCCCTTACCTTATTCGTACACGATATTGGACAGATAACGATCCTTTCCTGCGTTTCTACGACTTCCAACCGCCCAACCCTAAACCCTTCTCATGGATGTCTCTGGTACGACGAGGTAACTGCTCTCCGATATCGACTCGTTTCTATTCCGGGTTACGATTCTTCCGGCTCGAAGTCTACTCCGAACTTCCAACCCTTTGCACCGAATGTTAAATGAATCATCTTTCGATGGGAACTGTGATATTAAATACAGAGGTTGCGAATGATTCTAGAAATACAAGAATCATAAAATAAAAAAGAGGAAACATACAAACTACCCCAATTAGCATTAGCTACCATCACTGTTAAACTATTCCAGGAAGATCCAAGTTATACTGCGCTCGGTTCACGTGTTACCTCGCTAAAACCAAACGCAAACGACCCACGAATCTCCCTCAAGACGGTAAACTACCGGCAAACAATCCCGCAAACCCTATTCTCTCTCCACTGGCCATAATTTCAGCACGCTGAAACGAGCTTTCGTCTGAAAACCACCACCACTACCACCACACCACGGCACATCTTCGGTAACACGAAGGAGAGGCGAGGAGGCAGTGTCTCGATTACAAACGTTGGTCCGGTCCCTGGTAATCGAGAAGCTGCAGGACCCAGGCGATCTCTTTACGGTCCACTGGTAGACGATCGTTATCCAAGGGGGTAGCGAAGAGTGGCTTTATCATGGAAAACCACGCGTTGACCGATTTCGTGCACAGCCCAAGGGGGTCGGTCTCTCTCACGAGAAAGGGGGGGGGGGGTGGTGGAAGCAGTAGGTACCTCCGGGACATATTCAGGCCGCGATACGCAAAAAGGAGCGACCGATAGGAAGGGGGTGGAAAATGAAAAGAGAGTCCATACGCCGTAACGAAACGATAGAAAGAGGAAGTTGTCGGGTGAGAGGGGGCGAAGGGGTAGAGAAGTATTGGCCTCGTCAAGCGGTTTCAGGCTTGCCGATATTCCGGGCGCTTCTCGTCGACCCTTATGAAGCCAATTACACTTTGCCTCGCCAAAGGCACCCCACTTATAACCGGCAGTCAACGTTTCTGGGGCTCTTCGGGTCGCGACCGGTTCTGCAGCACGTACCGGTTATATTAGATACCGCTACTGTAAAAGCTGCTGCTGCTCCCACTGCTGGTGCACCCCCTTTTTCGTACCTCGGCCCTCGATACGTCTGCGAACCGTGTAACCACGATACAGGGTTGACATCATTGACGAAGGGGTTTTTAAATAATTATCGACGGGATAAGAGCGACGGTGGATCAGGCTTTCTTTTTTTTTCATTTTTTGAACTTGCTTTTCGGGTGTTTTTGATAAAACTGATCATTAATTTTTAACAATTGTATTGTAAATTGACGGAGAACCTTGACAAGATATAGTAAATATTTTCTCAAAGGATTGATCGTCGTTGGATGATCGCTATCAATGCCCATTCGTCCGGTCACCCAATCCGTGTTTGTAGTGCAAACCTCCATGATATTAAATACATAGCCACCCTATCCTTCAATCGATTCGCTCTTCTTTGATCTCGCCCGTAATAATGTTTATTCTGCATCTGCTAATACGTGGCCAACAGGCACGACGTGTCAACCCCTTTGAAAAATGTCACAAGCAAATTGCAGTTGTTTCCTTTTTTTTTAACAGAGTGTCATGAAGGATTTTCGCGCGGACAAGTTGGAAATAATTATAATTAAAATGATTGATTTAAAGATCGTTCTTTCTGAAGTCTTTGAAAGAAGATGAGGAAATAAAAAGAATACGAAAACAGCATCTTCATTTTTGTTACAGGTCTGACGAGAGCACCGATGTATCCCTTCTCCACGGGTCAATATCCGTACCCCATGCTTAGCCCGGAAATGACGCAAGTCGCTGCTTCCTGGTAAGTCGGTACACTCGTTTAGCGATGGAAAACGTCGTTGACGAAAAGCTAGATAGATGAATCTCATCTTTGTCCTTCATGCTACTTCCAAGCGAATCAATTTCAACGAATTGTTTTTCAAGAAGAGTACCTATCTTCGGTACTGAACGACTCAAGATCCTTTTAATTTCTAGTAGTTGGTAGAATTTTGATTTATTTACAGGATTATCGGGATTTTCCCGCGACTTTCCGCGGTCCGTATTTCGTGAATTAATCGTAACGAAGATTCGTTTTGAACGGTACGCGAAGTGGGGCTGATTTTCACGTGAAACGTTCGATATTTTTTCGCTATTTAAACGATCGTTAATTCCAGCTTTTCCATATCAACGTCGAGGGCCGGTTAAACGCGATTTTTATATTCATCGTACAAGACCGTTCCTTTTCAATTCGATCTTTACCCGTTTCCAACAAATAGCAGCAGTTCGAGTACGCTCCATTGAAATTGATTCGACGCCGAAAGATCGACGTGAAATAACGTGGAATAACAGCGAACCGAATGGTATTTGGCCCTCGTTTTTCCGGTCAAATCACGGCGTCCAACTCCGTTTGCCCGATTTGGTCATCCTCTCGGTTCCGGTCTATTAGATCGACTACGTCCACCGGTATCGTCGCCATCATCGAACGCTATAACGCACACCGACCGCATCCAGCCAACCCTCCCTCTTGCGACTCCCTCAGCCTCTCCCTCCTTGTTATTTGCTTTCTGCCCGAACCACCCTAAATTGAGATTTTCCACGGATGATTAAGCCCGTTCTTCTCAATTAGGAGGGCGAAACCACCCACGTCTCGCCGATCGTCACCGTGAGGAAACGACACGCGCGGACCTCGAAAAAGTCCTTCCTTTTGAGGTTCTTCGAGGAGTACCGTGAACTTTTGTTAGGTCGAGGTGTAATTTTTAAAAGGATCCTTTTTTTATAACGATTTTTTGTTGTGAATCGAATTTGGAAGACGAAGCTTGATATTTTCTATCATTTTAACTGCAGTTTATTATAATTTATTTGCGTTTGAAATGTTTTTTATGATTTTCATATACTTTCGTTTTTTCAATTTTATTTTAAGATTTCAAGAAGTTGAGATTATTCTATCTTTTTTAATTTATAAACTGTAGGCGTGAATTGTTTGTGATAATTATTCTATGTATGAAATTGATTATTTTCAGGCTAAACTCTTTGACAAGCAATGGTTTCGTTTCCAGGCATACACCAAGCATGTACCCCATTTCACCGGCAAGCACTGGTTTTCGAAGTCCGTATCCCACGAGTTTGCCCATCACAAGTTCTAGTTTACCAAGGTTAGTAGGTGATCGAGATCAGATTTGTCAAGTTTACCGTCACCGGATCAGACTAATTCTAGTTACATGTTTGTACTCTAATTGCATCCCATTAGTGTTATACATGAAATTGCATTACCGAGCGTTTCAACGTTACCGTGTAGGATTACAATACTTTATGCTGACATAATTACTTCATAAATCTTTTATTATTTTACAAATTGAATACAGAAATATCATAGATAATTGCATGCTGTTTCTGCATCGAAGTTGGAACGCTGAATCGGCAAGCTCTTTCACCTGCCTCTTTGAAACGTGCAATCACCCAGGCTATCGGGATTCTTTTTTTCCAGTGATCTGTACCGGTTTTCGCCGACTGGTCTGATGCCTCCGCATCCTGGACTGAGTCCGCACGCACACGCGTTGGCGTCCCACGCGCTGGTCTCCTCGGCGCCGAAAACGGATCATTCCACCTTGGATCACAATCACAGGTTCGTTCTCACCGACATTACGGCGACACCTGGACCATTTTCAGGGAATCCAGCCGTGTCACATGCCTCGTTCAATAAGTCCTCTGTCCCTTTTTTTTTCTCCACCCCCATTTCACGAGCTACCCTAACGCTCCGTCAGAGTCGACAACGACGACGAAACCATTACCTTCATGTGATCGAAGAGATGTCCTGCCACGAGGAATCACGGTGTACGGGAGTTTTAATCGATTCGCACCTCGACGAGTCAGTCAATTTGTTAACGAGAAACGAACGAAGAGACATAAGCATCAGTGATCAGAGATAACGTGGAGCGTGTCAAAGCCAGCACACGGCTTCCATATAATGCAAGCCTAATTTTCGCTCTGTCGGAATGAATCGCTGATAGACAGGCTTTGATCATGGTCACGAGCGTGCTGGTAAATATTGTAGCCAGTAGTGGCATTATCGTGAAACGGAACGGGCCAGTCGATAATTTACTGGATGCACGGACACGCGATGAATGAACGCGTTATGGGAAATGAAAGCAAGGGGGATGATTCCGAAGGTATACTTCTCCCTCGTTGCGACCAGTGGGGAAAATGTTTGACTATCGGTCGTTACCATCGACGAAACACACATTCAACAGGCTACTCTTCGTTTTCCTTTCTGGATACAGGGGAAAACGAAGTCTGTCCTTCCATCGATAAAGGAAAGATTTCGTCCGTTGATAAAGAAGCGTCTCGCAGTATCCGGGGGGTTGGCGAATAGTTTCAACGACGACCATAGGGGGTAGCACGTCCCAGGGTGTTCAACCCCTCGTGATGTCGTTCGTTCCCCCTTCGCCGACTAGGCACGTATAACACTTATTGAATGACTCTCTTCGCACAGCGTCTGCGCCTGCCGTCGCCACCTCCACCTCCACCAACGCCGCCGCCGCCGCCGCCGCCGGTTATGTATTGATCATTACCCTCTTAAACAGATTTCTAATTTGCATTAGTACCCGGCCGATCGCCTGTACCGAGCATCGTATACAAAGCCGCATGGTCGCGCTTCCTATATTCGAGGCACGCGTAGCCATGAACGCTGCCGATCAGCTGGCTGAACGTGGCTCGTTCCCGAAGAGGGGAGTATCGCGTGCCGGCACGGCGAAGCGTCAGGACGCCGACGACAGACTTTTACAAGCGGCCTAGACAACGACAACTGCCGTACTCTCCAGTTGACGCGAGACGACTGCTATTTCATTTTGACCTTCGACTCGACGACCCACGTGCTTCGAGGAGTCCGCGAACATCAGGAAGAGGTTTCCTGTTCATCGTGTGATCCATCGACGATCTGCAAATACACGTGCACACACAGACACACACACACACACACACACGGAGATCGTTTGCGGAGATCGACGAGGGAGAGACGCCGTTCGTTATCGATCTTGACTCACATGTTGAGATTAAAGAGACGACGAGTAGGAAACAAGAGGAAGTTAATCGACTATGTCGGATTACTCTGTTCCTTTCGATTCTCCTTAGAAAAGGGAGCAGCTGATCAGAAGTCCTAGTCCAGGTGGTCTCCGGAAGAGTGCTGGTGCTGGCGAGACATTAGCCAGCCGATGGTAGCGCCACGCAGCCCGCCAAAAAAAGGCATCACGCAGCGAAAGCGGAGAGAATGCAATCTTCACCCCCCACGCGCGAATTATACATCGGCGGATGGTAGGGTGTCGTTGCTGCGGAGCCATGAATCGCGATGATGGCCCCACGGTGCAGCCCTCCTCCCCGCCGCCCCTTCCGCACTTGCGGATAATCAATCGTCGTAACACCGCTCGGTGATTCCACCGACGCCAGGAACGACGCGTTTACGCTGGATGTGGGATACAGGGTGGCAAGTGGACAAAAGACACCACCGGGTTCCGTTCGTAGGCCCATGGTGCGATACGCGTGGTCGCGAACGAAACAACTAGACATCCATCGAACAGTCCGGACATAAAATACGTATACGTATATATCGTGCCCGGTGTAAAGCATTACGAGGGGCAACGAAGCGAACGAGAGTGGAGGAGAGGAGGATACTTGTCGACGTGAAAGGGAAAGAAAGAGAGAGAGAGAGAGAGAGACTGGACGTAAAACGCGCTAGGATGCCGCCCCTGGAGACATTTTACCGTGCTATTCGTCCGCTCGTCGCTCGTGAATGTTGAATGCCGTCCACGACGATATGGAGCCATTAAGATCGACGATGATACGCGACGTGCCAGGCGGGCGGGACGCGACGTGAACAGTGAGTGTTTTGGCCGCTTCCGGGATGACGCGATCGCCGCTGTCTCCAGACAGCAGACGATAGTGGCGTAAATGTTGTGCGCGTACGTGTGCTGTTTACAACGAGGACTGTTTTTAGAGGACTGTTCATCGGCGTACAGTATGTTAGGAAACGGGAACGCGAGCGTCGAATGCAAGACGACACGGAGAGACGAGATTACCGACCCTACCGACAGTTACATTCGCGATTTCCTGAAACGCAAGATGACACCGTGCTCGAACGACGACGAGGATGGGATTAACGAAAAATCGTACGGCATCGCGGCGGTGCAACGTTACTTGAATAACCACCCCGAGTATCACTGTTTCGTGAACGTTCACGTGTACGGGAAAACGAGCACGACAGGGCTCGAATAGGGAGGAAAAGGAACAGACACACAGAGTTGGTTGCGTGGTATAGCTTTCGATGGATCAGTTCAGAGCGTTCCGGTGGGTATAAACGGACCCACGAGTCGCAGCGCAGACCGCACCGGCGATGGAGCCCGAATGTCTGGAGCCACTGAACCTGGTGATAAAGAAGGACGACAACACTGAGAACGGGCCAACGGTGATCGAGGAGAACAGCGAAGCATCGTCGATCAACAGAATCGACGAGGAGAACAGCGATTCGAAGATCGTCGACAACATGACGATACTCCAGGACGCGATGAAGGCCGAAGAGGCCGGCTTACCAACCGCCGATCACAAGATCCTCACCGCACTCTACATGAGTAGCCTGATGCAGATGTCGAACATGAACATGCCTAGAAGCGTGACGCCGCCTCCGTACGGTGCTCAGCACAATTTCATGCAGCTGCTTGCTATGGTGGAGGCGCGACACCGCATGTGGCAACAAATGAACTGGCCCTTGCCGCAGAATTTCCATAGGAACCCGTTGACCTTGCCCCAGCCTTACTTCGACGGGCCGACCTCGAATCTGACCGAGCAACTCTGCAATTCCCAAAATTCTGCGTCTGCTTATCCCCTGTCCTGCACGAAACCCGAACAACCCATGAACCATGACGCAGACTTACCCTTGAAGCAGTCCTACTTCAAACGGTAACAGACCGACTTGGCCTGAATCGATTTTGCCCGCGATATATATAATATATATATATATATTTGAAATTCGATCGATCGATCGAGCATTTGCACTGATGATTTCTATGTTTCTATTGTCCGCAGGTCATCGGTAGAACAGAAGAACTCGACGTCGTTACCCACGGACAACTCGAAAGCACAGGACACGGGTCAGCAGAATAATCAAGGTAAGGATCGTTTAACGGATCTGGGCTTCGGTGATCAGTTTACCGTTGATTTTCACTGTAGAGGCCACCTCTCATACCCGTCGATGATGTTTGACAGATAAAAAGAAACCCCATATAAAAAAGCCTTTGAACGCATTTATGCTGTACATGAAGGAGATGAGGGCGAAAGTCGTGGCGGAGTGTACCTTAAAAGAGAGCGCTGCCATCAACCAAATATTGGGAAGACGAGTGAGTAGCTGGCGAATAAGTACATTTTTTAAATTCAATAGTAATTTTTTTTTAACATTTGAGAAGCTGTTACATCAGGGTCTGCTAAGGAAAAACAGTAAGATGACAAATATTTCTTTTGATTTGAAATGCTATTAATGGTACCAAAAATTGTTTCAGGAATAAATTGTTTCACTCGAGGAAGCAGACATTTGAATTTTATAGTCCAAGAATTTCGAAGCAAGCAGGGCCCTGATGTAAAAGTAACAGACACGTGCCAAAGTCAAGATTTTCTTCTGTTTTCTTTGGTTGTTCTTTCAAACACGTTGCTGTCACTTGAACGTATCTCGTACAACGTAAGGTACGAGTTCAATTTCGAACTGTATGCCAGAGGAATCAAAGAAAATCGAACCTCGTCGATCACGTCGTATGATTCAGTGAAACGGTAAATGAAGAAAACGAGTTACGCTCTCGTTGCTTCGGAAGCAAAATGTTGACTTGGCGACCATGAGGGAAGATTATCATCCCCAGGGACCCCGTTTGAACAGGGTGTCTCCAAGGATGATCTTGAAAAATAATAATTGCATGCGTTTTTTTTTAACTTCTTTCGTTGATCCGCGATATTGATCAAATCGAAGCACTAACCGTATACCTGCTAGTATATATATATAAATATATATCTGAATATCGAATAGAGAAGATAGATAAATAGATAGATAGATAGATAGTTAGATAGATAGAAAGAGAGAGAGAGCATCGTAGGTGGGATCTAAGGAAAAAAATCTCGTTACGAGAGAATTTTTTTGGGGTCGGGTCGAACCGAAAAAAAAAAGGGTTGGGTGACGAGAAGGACACATCTCTCTTGTGGTGTATCCGCTCTAAACGAGTCGCAAAGACGAGCAGATTAATAAAAAAAAGCACACGTATTACCGTTAATACGATAATGAATTTAAGAAAAAAAAAAATATGAATAAAGATCGGATTAAAAAAAAAAAAAAACACGTGAGAAAAAAAGGGACACACGGTGCACGGATAAATACTGTGAGACTGTGAATCTGTGAATCTGAATTTTGGGGGTATGACACGCAGTGGCACTCGCTAAGCCGGGAGGAGCAGGCGCGGTATTATGAGGCGGCCAGGCAGGAGCGCCATCTCCATCAGCAACGATACCCCGGCTGGAGTGCCAGGGATAACTACGGATACGGCAGCAAGAAGAAGAAGAGGAAGAAAGAACGGTCCGCAGATCCCACCGGAGGTACCACTTTCCAGTGCTAGAACAGCAGGCCCTTAATAATTCATAATAATAATAATAATAATTCATATAGATTACCTACTGGTTGATATTGAAACGATCAAAGTCTCTTGTGCGTTTCATATTCTGTTTTTTATTTGATGATGAGAACCTGTTTGTTTCATTTTATTTTATTTTTTTTTTTATAAATTTGGTTTCTGTTCAATTGTCACTTGTGTATTTGTTCTCTTATCTTTTTTTTGAAATTTTTTTTTTTTTATTTTATTTTAATTATCTGGCATTTTCACTCTTCAACTCGTGCGGACTTGTGTTTTATATTTTTTAATAATGATCGATCAGCTCTTCGAACGTGTTACGTACGCGTGCAACGACTCGTGCACGCGTACGTTACGCTGTTTCCGTTGATTTTGGTATTATATTTTTTTTTTTTTTTTGCGTCGACTCGATTTTATATTGGATTGTCTGTTGGGGGCGAATCTTTTGCGGACCAGGCACCGTCGACCCTGGATTGAGAACGAAGGGGGATAAAAAACGAACTTCTCGCGGCATGCGAACATGTACGCAGATTCTTTTTTTTTTTTTCTATATCTGGCCAAACTCCCTAAAGCGGTATCCGTTCACGGAGAGACGTACGATTCGAATGACGTAAGAGGGACAAAAAAATATGTTCACGAACGTAATTAACGAGAGCATGTCATGTATCGAAGAATTCGAAGCAGAGTGAAAAGACGTATGATTGAGAGGCTTGCGGTACGGGATGTCTGGTAGAGACAAGACCTCGTTTCCGGTCGTTTCCCTTCCTCCAGCGTTTCGAACGGGGTCTTCTTCAACCCCGTGTCCACGAAATGATTCAAAGTTGCTACGTTTTCGTAATGGATACTGTGTCCCGTTGAAATGTCATCGGTTGAAAAGTACGAATACACTGAAAAAAAAGGGGGGGTAGCATTAAGGGTTGTAATTAGCGAGGAAGATACTTTCGTTGAATTATTTACTTTTAAGGGAAACAACTGTAATTTTAATGCATTAACCTTTTGAGCAGCACGCAGTCATTACATTGGTTCAGTAGTCGAAAAGTGCAAGTGCATCCTCACCCTGACCTAATGTACTAATATCACACTTGTTGCACATACAGGATATTATAAATGCAATACGTGTAAATGTATGATTACAGTATATTTTTTCAGTGTATAGACACCAGTCAAGAATCCTCGTTTCGCTGGAACACGTGGTCCACGATTAATCATGTGCAACGACCCTCTATCAGACACCCTGTATCGTCCGAAAATAATTGAAACTCGACGATAACGACGTATAATAGCGGTACAAGCGAGGGGGAGGGGAGAATCTAGGCTGTTCTTCTAGCACTTTAAACGGAAAGTAGGGACCCCAGTGTTTAATTGCCAATGATATGATTAAGAAAGGCAACGAGATGCGCGTGGAACGGTATCGAAAGCGCATAAGAAACGTGAAAGACGAGATTTTTTTTAATTTAACCGTAACTAAAGATCAAAAAGTATCGTAGATAAATAATAATCTTTAACCAGTAAACGTTAATCTTTTACCAGACCTTAACAGCAGTATAAAAGAGAATTAAATTGAAAAAAGAAAAAACAAAACGAAAGATGCAATTTTAGGGTGGCGGCAGTAGCATTAGTGAATCTCTTTTTTTTTTTTTATCTTTCTTGATTAAAAATATTGTTTAGCCAACGGTTCATGCACAATTACAAATAGTGTTTGGTTCTCTCTCGGTAGTGGCACGCGCTAGGGCGAGAGGAACAGGCCAAGTATTATGAGTTGGCGCGACGGGAGAGACAGTTGCACATGCAGCTGTACCCTGACTGGTCTTCCCGCGCAAATACCAACCGAACTAAGAAGAGGAAGCGCAAACAAGACACAAACAGTGATCCTGGAGGTACCCACATGCCTCACTCCACACATTCTTTACAAGCTCCCCCCGCCCCACGTACAGCAACACCAACAACAACGACAACAACAGCTACAGAAATTTATTAAAAGTCCACCTATTTCACCCCCTATCAACAGCCCCCCACCCCCTCATTATTACATATACTATATTATATAATTATTATATACATTCTTTATTGCTACACTACATTATGTTGCATGTTTTCCCCCCGTCTTGGGGTTTTGGGTCGATATATTATTATTATTATTATTATTATTATATATATATTCTACATATATATATGATTATTATTATTATTATTATTATTGCTGTTATATACATGCACACGCATATTAGACGTTCATATATACATATATATATGTGATTTATATTGGTATTTCAAGTAGTTTTTGTTTTTCTTTTCTTCGATTTGAAAACAACAATAACAATAACAACATTGAAAATAATATATATTATAATGATAGAAGACAAGTTAGAAGAGAGAAAAGTAGTAGTAAAGAATAAGAATGATTAAGTACCGGAAATTAAAAAAAAAAAAAAAAAAAAAAAGAAAGAAAGAAAGAACATTCACTCGCGTGAACGGGCGTGCACGTACGCGTGCGCACGTGCGTGCCTCCATGTTTGAAAAAAAATATATATATTTCCATTAATATATATATTGTGTGATAAAGAAAATATATATATATAACGGGAAACAAAATGGGACACGAGCGCATTCAGTACACACGTACACGCACATGACACAGCATTATTAATTATTAATTACGTATACAACTTTGGGGACGCTGGCCATCTTGCATTTTTACAGGGACCTATACTCCGCAATCAGACAATCCTAAGCGTTTTTAATTTTTCACTCAGTCTCTCTTTCTCTGTGTTCACCTATTTTCTTCTATTTCTTTTCTTTCTCCACCTCTCTTCTCTCTCTCTGTGCTCTTACTGTTCTTATTTTTCTTTTTTTTATCGTTCTTATTTTCATTGCAGTTGCTGTTCTCTATCTTTTCTTTTTAACTATGATACGCTGGTTTAAATTCATATTTCCTTCTTTTTTTTTCTATATTCTTTTGCTCACCACCATCACCATCACCTTTGATCGTTTCAACGTTGCCTGTCGACCTTGTCGATTTTTTCTCCTTTTTGTTTTCTTCTTCTAATTATAGTAATTTATTTATCAATTGGCCTTTTTTTTTTATTTCGTTTGGTTCTCTATGGTCACCTCTAATCAATCACTCAATTATTCTCGACCCTTACACGCGAGTTTGTTTCGTTCACGATGCCTGAGCGCTCGGGTTTCCTTTTTTAAAAATTTTTTTTTTTTTATATTCATCTTTAATATTTATTATCTAGAGCTTGCGTTTAATACAGTTCACGACATTAATTGAGTAGATATGATCTTTGATCGTATTTTTTACGCCGTTTAACGTTTACGCTGCATGCCATTTTTTACTCAGCTTGACAAAATATCTCTTTCTTTTTTTTTATCAATCAGCGGGATTCTTCCTTGAAGACTGCTGTTGCAGTACAATTTTGAATAATAAACTTTCTTTATAAAATAATATGATTACGTTTGAAAAAATGTAAGTCTTCTGGGAAGATCCTGTTTCGCTGATATATATACATATATTGTCAAATTTCTAAACTGTTCGAGCTTGAAATCTTCACATTAAATAAAGTAATAAAATCTAATTAAAATAATGAACGATTATAAAAAAAAGAATCAAGCTCGATCAGTTACAATCGTTTTGTTACACGCATGACTAGTTGACAAAATTTGATATTCTTCAGCATTGTTCCAACAAATAAATGTCACGCTAGCCTTGCAATTTTATTCAAAAATTAACGTCTCAGACGTGATTGTCAATTAGCGTCATTCGTCTGGCAAAATGATAGAAATTCGATGATACATGTGCGCGAATGATAAAGAAGGATATACATCTCCCCTGTTCACAGACGGAGAAGAAACATTTCTGCGATACTAATCGATGCACCTTTCAAATTTTCTAGGTAACAACATGAAGAAATGTCGCGCCAGGTACGGATTAGACCAGCAAAGCCAATGGTGCAAGCCATGCAGGTACGTGTGCATCGTGTAGAGGGTTTTTTGATCGGTTGCTTCTTCAAAAATGGAGAATTACTATACCGTTCTTGTCGGCAAAGCTGCGCACGCTGTTCCGGGTCGCGTGTATATACTTATTCGATCTTGAGAAGTGTTGAGAAAGACTAGAAGTTTTCACGTCACAGTTCATGTAGTTCCACTAGAACAACTTACTTTTTACATGTGATGAATGATGGTGAACGATGATACGAGCACGGGTTGCTTTTCAAACGCGCTATGTTTTCTTTGTAACCATATTCTAAACAATTCTGGATGCAAAAGGTTCATCAAAGCTGCTCTATCTACGTGTCATTTCTGGGTACTTTAATCAGAGGATACTGACAACTGTTAACACTTTGACAATCACAGATTCAATATAATCGACACTTAGAGTGTTGATATAGAAGCAAGTTGTTGCGTGTCACCATATTTTGATACGCAACAATTTGATTAAAAAATTAGTTGCAACCCGGGCACGAATAATAGTACTCTCGATTATCACCACTTCTTATTGTAATCGTCTTCTGCTCCGTTCCGTCATCCACATGTTATCGTGGAACTTGAAAAGAGCCGACGCGTGATTGAAAGAATATAATTAAAATAATCGTGATCGAATTCAATCATCTAAAATAAGTGAAACGCGTAAAGAAAACGCGCGGCAGTCAGAAAATGTGTCTTCCAAAAAGCAAAATATACGAAGGGAAAAAGAACAGAACAAAGTACACAAGTGATAGTATCTTACTCGCACGCTGCTGGATCGATCCAACCGTGGCATCGTCCACTGTATTTTTGCTTGTAAATAACTCTACTAGATACCACACTCTGTAGTTTATTGCGGCATCACGAGCCACCCGTTATAGCGCCACTCTAACTTCCGTTTCTCACTGTGCGCCCAAAACGCCCCAACTCCCGGCTGGGTTTGTGAATCTCATGGACCTCATTAAAGGGGCGATGACGAATCCCAACGAATTTTTCATTCACGATGAAACGTTGAGAAAAAGAAAAATTACCGTATACAATCATTGGCGTAATTAGATAATCGGCCAAGATGAGCCTTGTTCCCTCGGAATGTATAATAACCGACCCCTTTGGCAAAATTCCTAGTTACGTCAATGAATGCAACGTGTAACGACAATTCTGTCTCCGTTGTTTATATCTGAATAGTTAGACTTTACACACTTGGCTAACAGTGGCGACCCAGAAGAAGCTACTCATGAACACGGACATTTGGGAGACATATTTTCTGATCAGACACTGCGGAATCGCTGAAGTTGCGCGTATTTTCAGAAAGAACAAAGTTGAATTTGTTGCAACGAGGTCGACGTTGTTCGGTATCGAGGCAGCGATACTGAAATGGAAATCTATTGATTAATAAAAAGAATAGGAGTAGTCGCGTATCAATTTTGGCCATCCCAAAAATAGGGATTGCTGTCTAAAATAACTGTAACCATCCTTCGCGAAAAAAAAATAGAGTGGTGCCTCGATGACGACGATGGTCGACCACGTAAACTGTATAAGATCGCGACGAAAGAGGGTGGAGAAGATAAGCGATAAGCGAGGTCCGCTCGCGGACAATTCGGGCCGATGCGTGTGGGTGACGACGATACGGTGTGGGATTAAGGTGGGATTAAAGTGATAACGTCGATGCGACGAGCGCCCCTTTAATGGCTGGTGGTTGGTTTTGGCAGCCCAGTGGAGCATGGAGCGGGGATGGGCATCCACGCGAGCATAATCCATCACGGTGTGGGAAGTAGCGCGGGGGCAGGGGTCGGGGCTGGAGGTGGTGGAGGGACGGTAGGGGCAGCTACTGCACCCCCAAACACCAACACTGCCTCCAATGCCTCCTCGCCTCAGCAAGAACCCACTTATGTTAATCTCTAGTCAAGCCTATCGCCTCCCTTCTACTGCAACACTTCTTCTTAAACAGTGGTCAGTCCCGACTTAAACCTACGGGCTCGTTGGCCCTCGCTATAATCAACCAACTCTGCTCGTTTTGCCCTTTCCAACAATTTCTTGTTGCTTTTTTAAAAGAAAGAATTTTTTTTTTTTTTTGAAGTATTATGTTTGAATGTATAGAAGAAGGAAAGAAGAGAACTGACTTCCGGTGGTTGAGACGAGCGGGGGTGGCATAGTGAGCGGCACAACGACGCCCTAATGCTCGCATTGTTTCTCATTGTTGTGGCTCTTTGCAGCTTATTATTGTTACATTTGATTTACCCTCGTTTAGTTGGAATTTAATCAGTGTTGCCCTTAGCATGGCTGGTCTGTAATACATATGATATATGTATATATTATATATATACCATCTATATGTTTATATATATAAATATATACGTGTTGCGTACATTCTACACCCACGTGTATAACCCAAGATACATATCTCTGATTTTTCACTCTTTCTTTTCTTCTTATGTTCGTTCTCGGTTCGGAACATTTGGCAATAGAGAAGTATAAATACATACATATATATTATATACATATTAATTATTTATGAGTCTGATTTGATGGCATGAACAGTTCGTGTACGGTAATTACGACGAATTATGTGTTGGTAACGGATGTGTTGAACCTTATTTTTATTTAGTACTACGTGAACATGATTTATTTATTTATTTTTCTTTTTTTTATTGTTTCTTTTATTTTTTATGTCAACGTTCTTCTGTTGTTTTCTATCTGTTTTTTAGTTTCTCTATTGTTTCTTGTAATGTCGTAAAATTATACTTGTTTGCATTAAATGTCGTTTAGCCGCGCGTCGTGAAACGTTTCGAGGACGAAGTCACACCTGACGACCAAAATCTTGGCCAGGTAGTGTCACGAGGAAGCTCCTGGTAGCTTTCGTTCGTATCGTACGAATTTATCGTCGCGAAATCGATGTCGCGCGGCTTCTTACGCTTCGTAGAGGTTTGAAGAGTCCGGACACGTTACAGCCTTGATCCGCGTCCAGTTGCTGGCTTTCCTTGGGCTCGAAGAGAGATGATCCTCGGGATCGAATAACTAAGTGGTATATTATAAAGAAAAGTAGTTTGATTTTTTTTACCAAACCACTTTCCCCGATCATATAGAACCATCCACGATGCAATTCCCTCTCCTTCTCTAATTTAATTGAAATCGATCCTGGAATCATTGCGCGAACGAATAGATTTTCTTCCGGTTCAACGTGGCTAGGTCAGCAGCTGGAGCGACTTGTGCGAACCGATTATACTCGAAAGAAAAGTATGCAGAAGGTACATCTAACGCTTTTTAAATCCAGACGTGCCTGCGAACAGTTGATGTCCCACCCAAGAACCGTAATGTTGTTGACACTTGATCAAACACGAGCAATAAACTAACTCGACTGGCTAAGAGATGAATAATGAGAGCCAATGGCAGAGCGATAAATGTCTCGACTGCGATGCAGTTAGCACACGAGGTCGGTCGGGCTCACTTTTCGGGAACTTTGCAGTAGCCATACATTTTCGCCTCTGTCCTGTATTATAATATTTCTAATACATTTCGTGTATCGGGTTTCAAATTTCCCGCGTCTCGAGATCGATCGATCGGTCGCGTCTCTTTTTTTCCTTTCCGTTCGTCTTTTCTTTCTCGTTTCATTTGCACTTTTTTGGAACGGAACGATATTTATTCGAGAGAAAGAGAGAAGAAAGAGAAAGAGAGAGAGAGAGAGAGCGTACCAGAGTATCGCTCATGAAAAGTTCCAAGTTCCACGTAACTGTTCTACGAGCTTTTCGTTAGCGATTTCGTTGATCGATTTCTGTCGCGTGTACTGACACAGCGTACTGCTCGGGACACGTAGTTCTCGCCTGCGGATTAAAACAGCGTTCAAACCCCAAAAACCCCCTCCTCCCCCGGAACCCCGCCCACCTTGTGCCCCGGCATTTGAATTCTTTTTGTTGAGACTTTCGTTTTTCACGTATACGTTTATTACACACCAGTTATTTGCTTGTTACGTCTGAATCTTTTTGAGCATGGCATTTGGCAGCGAGTGATACGTATATCCGTGTCGAGCAATACAAGCCGAAGCTGATCGCGCAGAGATCTCGTTTTCATTCGACGAGTTAACGAACGCGTTGGAAGGGAAACTCTTTGTAACAAAGAAATCACGTGTGAAAAATTTTAGCAAAGATTTCTGCGCGGTCGATCTTGCTACGACCACGAGTGACCGCATGTGTTCTTTTTTAGTTGGTATATAATAATACTGGATGTAACCATACAACAGGGAGGATCGAACGTCGTTTCTTTAACAAATTTTTTTATTCACTTTCACTAATGATACATCAGCGTGTACATCGAATGGAAGCCACGTTCTATCTTCTTGAATAACCATCAATCACCCTGGTGGCTTCTTAAGATCATCCGGGCTAATCTTGAAACGCTTGTTCGCAGACGTAAGAAGAAATGTATCAGATACATGGGGGAGGGAGGAGACGGCGACGGCGAAGCGGACGGCGAAGGCGAGGACGATCATTCGGAGGACAACCTTGGCAGCGTGGGGGAGGCAGGCACTCCCGAGGAGGACGAGTCGCTGAGCAGTCCCGGGGGTTTGTCCGCGTTGTCTAGTCTGGCTAGTCCATCGCTGGTATTACCGTCGCCCTCGAGCCTGGCCAGCCCGTGTCCTTGCCCTCTGACACCCCCGGTGCCGCCTCCGCCCCTATCGAACCCGACCAGTCAGCCGCACAATCAGCCTGTACAACCGCCGCCGCCCCATCGTAACCCGGTCGGCACGAATCCCCACGACATCAACAATCCCCTTAGCGTGAACCAACTGACCGGACAGTGTATAAAGAGTGAAGTGGTCTCGGCGCCGTCGGGCACCACCAATCCGGCGATCAGTGTTACGTAGCCCCGGCCGGACCCACGTGACAAGACTGTTGCTACGCGCCGTGTCATCAACAGGGTCCATGTACGTGTACAGACGGCAAGCTGGACGATAATAGGGGTCAATGTCGTCACCTGGTCCAGGGCGACGACGACGACGACGACGACGAGGAGGACGAAGGAGGAGGCGGCGGATGATAGCTGGCTCCTCTTCATTCGGATCGTCGTTAGGACAGATCTGAAATGGGGGATTTGTTGGCCAATCGCGTCAGTCGTGTGAAGACTATACAAGGAGATCCGGGTAATCAAGTTGGAGCCCAGGGTCCAGGAAAATGATGGAGCGAAAGAGGAGATACCAGTGTGAAATCGACTCGGATCTAGGACGCAAGGCTACGAGGGAGAGATCCTCGGGATAATCGTGTCCAGTCTCTCGCCGCGTTCGTTCGTCGGGACAGACCCAGTGTCCAAAGTCTTTAGCAGCGATAGGCAGAGGAGTCTGGGTATATAAGGACGTTCACACGTGTTTACGATCGAACGAACAGACGGACAAGCGAAGAAAAGTAAAGGCAAAAGAAACATATGAACATACGATGCAGAAATACTCAGGACCAAGTGTCTGGCTGTAGTCACCCACTCGAGAGAGAGAGAGAGAAAGAGAGAAAGATTGTCAGTTCGCATGCTAGATAGACAGAATGAGAGGAAGAGTGTGCCTGCGTGAGAGATGTTGAAAGAGGATACAAAAAGAGAGAGAAACTATATGATACGCATAACTGGCTGACGATGAAGGTGCGCGTGACACAGCTTGTAGTCCTTGTTACGTTGTGATGCCAATGACTGAGAGGTCATGTTCCTGTGCCAGGTACTATATTCTATAAAGTAATTATACCGCAGACGTATAAACTAAAGGTAAAACGAGCAAGCAAAAGAGAGAGAGAGAGAGAGGAAGAATGAAAGATAGAATGAAAGAGCAATGCCGAGAGAGAGAATGATGTGTCCAAGCGAGAACGAGACATTTCGTCGTCATTCATTTAATTCGACCTCACGATGTCGGAATACCTATTCTCCTGTATGTAATTTGTTATTTTTTTAAAAGTCTATAACACTGTGCGATTGATTAGCATGTAAGATCTCTTCATTTTATTTCGTTTCACGACGTGACAATCCGTGTCGCTGTTTCAAACCCGCCCTTCAACGAAAATCCACCTGCGTACCCGCTTTTATCTGACCTTCGTCGTTATAACTTTCCTCTGATTCGTATTCAGAGTTACCTTTTCGATTATATAGATTGTACGGCGTAACGCGATCGCCAGGTGAAACGTTTATCGAATTGTTTCTTTACGTGGATCTCCATTGCATAATTAAAAATGAAAAAATAGCTGTCTTGGGCGAAATCTCAGGAATCCGTGCGGACTCGATGATCAGACGTGGCTCGTTCATGAACGATGAACTCTAATTCTAAGTTTTACAACCCCGTCAGGATCGAAATCGAGAGGAGATCGAGGAATCAGGGGCGATTGAGAACGAACATGCGCACCGTTCGCGCTATCGGGCCATCGAAGACAATAAGAATAACACAGCGAGGAAGAAATTGTTGTGGCATCGAATCGCGCGGTTCAGAGCTTCCATTAGAACGTACAAGGTTAATCGTGTTCGATCGAAAGTCGCTATTCCTCTGTGTTCCCTCGTCAGTCGTTCACAGGACGTTGACAAAGCAGGAGAGAAGGCATGTATTATTTAGAGATCGTCGTCTCTGCAAGCGACAATCGCTTCTTCGCGCGTTTTATTTCTTCTTTGAAACCTCGAGCTGTGACTTCGTTAATTCTTTAGCATTTCGAATCGTTTCACGTTTTTTAAAAGAAACATTTCTTGTATTTCGGCGTAATTATCGAAGAAGAAACGCGCGATAGACCGCGATCAGTTTAATCATTTTATTTAATTGGAACTTGAAAATATACCGGTTCCTGTTTGCGATAAAAAGATTGTGATAGGCGAACGAGAAAGATGAAAACGTTTAGAAAATTGTTATCGATCTTGACTGAACGACAAAGCGTATACGAGTTTCCCCTGCTTGTTTCCGTCTCGTTTGTAAGTTTGCGTTTTATCTTCTGATCGTCGATGTGCGAACCCTTTAAGCGGCAATATAATTGTTCTTGTATAGCGGCGACTGGTTGAAAGAAAGAACGCGTAGAATGATGTTTGTCGATCGTGCGCTCGTTTTCATAATTTTCTTTCGTTTCCATTTTTAATTCTTGTTACCGTGGAATATACGTGCGAACGAACTCGATAATTCCACGTCCATTGCAATGATCGTTTTATTTTCTTTTCTTTTTTTCTTTAGTTTCCTTTTATACGATTGTTAAGAATTGAGCGACGGTTATGTGCAATTTCGCACAAGAGTTTCTTTTTTTTTCTTTAAATTTTATTCGAATTTTTGAATAGTAAATCGAACGAGTTAGAAGTGATAGATATTTTGCGCGAAGCCTGTTACCACGATTATTTTCTTTCATTTTTTATTATGGATTAAAAATTCTATTGCTCGAAATCCTCGAGTGCGATCCAATTATCTCTGATCGATCGATACATAGGAAAAAGATAACGTAAGAGAAGAGAAAGAACGAGCTGTACACGCGACGATTGTTGTTTTCTCGTGCGTTTTCATTAAAACGGAGCAGCTTGTGTACATAGGATAGAGATACGTTTTTAAGGTGTATTTTGTTGCGTCGAATGGGAAAGTGCAATGGAGGACTTTGACGAAGAATAAGAAGATGGAAGAAGAAGAAGAAGATCAGCAGAGAAATAGAAGGAAAAAGAGAGTTGCGTTATGCCGCCATGTGGAAGTCACGCGAGCGAAGAGTGAATGAGAACGAATGAGAGAGTTTCTGTCTTTTCTTCCTGTTCTCTTCGTTTCTTTTCTTATCATTATTTTTTTAATCTTTCTTCTCCGATTCTACGATTCACCCCCTCGACTGAAGCAATCACCGATGTCTCTGTATAGCGAGAGGAGCGTAAGATAAAACTGTAATACGCGTCGTGTATCGAACAGTAAACTTGAACGTGCCATAACGACATCATGCCAATATTATCAATAACCCATATTTTTTACACTGCGATCCGTTTCGAACATCGTTCTGTCAGTCGTATCCTAGGCTTTGCGTTCAATCACGCGTCTCTTGCTTCTTTTGCCGCGTTTTTACCTCAACCACCGGTTATTCTCTCCCTTCGTTGCCTCCTCCTCGGTCGACCCATCTTTGCACGCGATCCACGCTCTATCATCAATAATATTTGCAGAATTTTATTTTTCACGTACCTATTTTATGCTTGTAAATTTATTTTAAACTTTGAACGCGAATTAATCAATGATCCATAAGAATCTATGACTTAAAGTATACGACAATCGATCAGCGATCAATTTGTGATTTCGTGGGTCCAAGTAAATCTTAAACATACACTTTTTCAATAATTTTTACTGACAATTAGATATTCATAAAATTGAAAAATTATCCTTCTATTTTCATAGAATTACCTTCTCAAATAATAGTACTCGATAAAAATTTGGATACCTCGGTGAAGATCGAGGTTCGATCGTGAAGAAGGAGGCAACAAATGATCCAAGTACGGGCAAGGACGACCAGCGGTTCACGGAACGAGCGCAAGGGTATGAAAGAAAGAGAAAAAGGAAAGAAGGATTACAGATCGTACTGACAGACGTTAGCCACAAAGAAAAGACTCGTAAAGCCGTGCGATGTATTATTCCGAGTGTGTCGCGTATGTGTCTGCGTGTGTGTAATTGCGTATGTTTGCGTGTTCGTGAGACGATGACTGTTGTACGAGCCGGGTTGCGGGGGCAGAGATCGCAGGGGATGATGCTCGGAACGCAAGAAGCATTTATGTATATGAACGCGTTTCCTCGAAGGATTAATCGAGCTGACAGAAAATATCTTCGACCAGGCTGAAATCCTTCCAGCGATGTTCAACGAGACTCTACCGCGAATACGATTCAGTCAAAGATCAATCGTATTCGCGGTAGAGATGATTTCTTGGGAGGGGATTAATTATTTAGGAAATTGTACCGAGAGTTATCCTAAGGTGTTGAACTCTGCTCATGGAACTTGGCGTGTTAGTTCACTTTTCAAGGAACGAGACGACGTCGGGAGGGTCCGTCCGTGGAGGACCCACCAGTGGTCAGGGGACTAGGAAGCTGTTCTCACGTTGCATTTTTTTAGGGGGAAAAAAAAAGGATTCGCGACGAAAGGAAGTTGAACGTGATGGAACAGCTTCCGGAACCCGCTTAACACGGCCTAGCAGACCGCGTGTGACGTCGCGAATATCGGTCGGGAACGACTGTTGGCTGATTATACGATAACGATTTCACGAGATAACGAAGTTGGCTCCGTCGCGGTTGGGCTCGTCTCGCTTCAAGGAGTGCTTGTAACATATTGTAAAGTATCACCGACAGTTCTCAGCTGCGTTGTACAGTGTTTTCTAAGTATCTAGTTTATATAGCGTGTAATTGAGGACACACATTGTATTTACACTAAATAAGTGATCTGTATCAAATTCATTCTCGTATAGCCTGTACTCCTACTCATGTAGATGCTAAAAGTGATTTGTGTCATAAAGAAACCTATAAATAAAATTAGCAATTTGAGAATGTTGTCGACCGCGTCGATTCATTTCGTTGTACGCCGATTCACCTCTATGATTTTTCAACAAACGTAACAGGTACTTTATTACAAATCACCACGACGAAATTTCAATTTTCAAAATGAACACGATAACAAATAGATCACAATTTCACTAATCATTGCTCGCATTTAGGTGGACAGCCGCTCTTGGCGTCCGAGAAGAAGTACAGATTCAACACGTTCACCGCGTTCAGAGTGTACACGTTCGGTGTCTTCAGGTTGCAATTGCTTACGAACATGGAGGCCATTTTCATGATACTCTCGCACTTCATCACGCAAGCAGTGCCATCGAAACTCGGTCTCCCTTGATTATTCCTCGCGCAAGGATCAAACAGATAGAATTTCCCGTAATGTTGCATTACCGCCACGGCCATGTTGGTTGTATGAAGAATCCCGGCGCAATTCGAGCGGAAGAACATAGTTAAAGACTCGGAAAGATCGAACGTATGAAGAATACCGGCAGTGGTATGATTGTGGACGTGTATTGTGGCTCTGAAGTCACCGACGATGAAGACGGTTAACAGTTCGCTAGGTGACAGATTCCTGTAGCCAGGACGAGCAGCGCGTACACTGTCCGAGTGCAGAAGGTCGCCGTATCTCAGGATCGCGTCGATTAATTCAGGTGTCCAGGTGGAGGGAACGTGAAGAAGTCCCACTACGATGGCCACAGCAGCTATCGCTGTACTTTGGAACCCACGACTGATGGGACTCCATGTACGATGGTGCATGTGCAGTCTTCCTCGAAGAATGCTTAGCTCTTCGTCTACCATGTTGTAGTCGGTGACGGTCTCCACGTCCAAGGTGGTGTTTCTCTTCATAGGAGTCATCGGAATCGGCGAAGTCGTGCAATCGAAGTACGGTCTGAATCCAGCTGGACAAGGTAGAGGTTCTATCATAGCGGTCTTGATGATGACCCTGCAGATCTCATAGCGACCGTACTTCTCTTGATCGTCGATATTGGCGAAGAGTACCTCGTAGAGAGGCTCGATGCACGCGAACCACATGACGCAAGAAGTGCCATAGAAATCGGGCAAACCTTGATCGCTACGGGCTCTGGGATCGTACATGAAATAAACTCCCAAGTCCTTCCAGATGGTCACCATTCCTCGATCGGTCACCAGAATTCCAGCTCGATTCTTCTCGAAGAACTTTCGAACGCCATCTTCCAAAAGAATCGGAGGTGGAGGAGGTGCGCGTATTCTCTGAGGCCTTCTACTCTTCTTCCCTCGACCACCTCTCGCCCTCCTCGGACCTCCGCGCCTTTTCTTCTTCTTCTTGTCTTCCGGGGCTGGAGGTGGAATCGCCACCAAACCGGACACCGTACCGGTTTCTATGTCCGCTGTCAGGATGTTCACCCCCACGTGGAACACTCTGATTATGTCTTTAGGCTTGATGCGAGTTATGGTCGGCTTGGCCTTCTGCGTTTGCCGGTGAACGTTGATACCGATCACCAGGATCTCGTCCATCGTCTTCTTCGTCCAGGTGATCGGGTTCTTCACCACGGACATTCCAAGGGCCACGACGCAATTTGCAGCTGTCTGCTTGTTCCGCAGCGTTTCCGGGAAGATCTCGTCACCCTGGTGATAGGTACCCCGAAGAATCGCTCGAGCTTCGCCTTGGACTCTTCTGTAAGCGTTCAAGGGAGGTAGGTTCGAAGGGCGAACTGCGGAACTGGGGTCGAATTTCCATGGAGGAAACTTGTTCCAATTAACTACATCTATCGCAATCAGTTCGTAATCTCCTTCGGTTCCCAAGTAGTTCTGAAGATGCTCCATAAGAATGTCGATGTTGGCAAAACGCAACAACTTGGGTGAACCCGCGATTTCTTCCTGCACGTTGACACCATAGTCAGGAATCAAGGCATAGTATTCATTGTCGAACTTCCAGATGGCTATGTTCTTAACCCCGCTAACGGTCAACGCTCCTGAAGTGTACCGTGCAAAGAACTTGTTAATTCCTGCGTTCAAATCTTGGACTTTGGGAGGTTTAGCGGTCAGACTGCCAGCCTCCACGCAATCTTTGATCGTCAGATTGATACGGCGAGAGGAGAGAAAAAATTCCGTCATTATTTCATTGATCCTCGGCGCGGAATCTACTCCGAGTCTCTCCACGCACTTGGAGTGCAATTTATCACCAGTTACGATGACCTCGTCCAACACAGCCTGCGTCAAATACCGTGGCTCGTAGACCTTTGAGAAAACGATAGCCATCACCGCAATGGCTGCTGTTTGGGTGTTGCGATTAGCTTCTTCGAACCTAGGATCGTCCATCTTGACGGTACCGTTGATGCTCCATACCCCTTCGGACATTTTAGGGAAATGGTACCATGGATTGTCCCCGGCAGCTGGTCTCGTTGGGCGTTCCTCTTCGGCTACACGCGTTTCGTACGCGTTATCCAGACTGACGACGTCGATGACGAAATCTTCACCTGTGGCAACCGGTTCGATCGCAGCGACCAATGATGGAATATCGGTGAACCACATTACCGCGGCCACGCCGTCCTTTTCTCGAGGTTCTCCTCTCGAATCCCTTCCTCTGGGATCTACTAGAAAGAATACATCGGCCTCTCTCCAAATAGGCATCATCACGTTGGCCTGCCTGAATACACCCATGGCATTCGATTCGAAGAAAGTTTCTAATTGGGAGGTCAATTCGTTCATCTTGCCTGATGCACCCTCCTCTTCCAAGGCTACGTATATCCGATTCACTCCTACTGCGAAATCCTCACTGATCTCGCTGGGGAGGAGATAGTTCCTTGGTTCCTCTCCCTCCATACCTTCTTCCGCAAGGTTCTCCATGTTATCCTGGGCGATCTTGTCACCCAGCTTCAGAATATCATCGACCACCTCTCTGTACCAGAGATGAGGATTATACAGCTTCGTCATCGCCATAGCTGCCAGGGCAGTTGCCGCCTGTTGCTTGTCCCTGGTTTGACGTTTGAACATCACTTCGTTGCCCTGGTTGAAACTACCCAACAAGACGGCTCCGGTATCGCCTATGCTGTGGTAGTTGCGCAGATCAGGTTTCACTGGGATCTGCTTGTCCTCTTCGATCTCTTCATCGGTCATCTCAGCACCGATCGAAATATTCTTCATGTCGTGAATGGAGAACTCGTTGCCGTGCTCCTGATCCTGGCCCGCGTTCGTTTCAATTATTTTCGCTAATACCGAATGGTCCAAGGTTCGAATCACGCAGGCTACGTTCTCCTCTACTTCTTCTTCCGACCAGAAACCTCGACTGTTTCTGGGATTCGAATCGAAACAGTAGTAGACGTTCTGTTTCACTATTTCGTCCTTCACTTTCACGTCTTCTTCGACCTTCCACGCAGCTACGCTCATACTCTTCACGTCAACGATACCATATTGATGGTTCTCGAAGAACTGCTTCAGACCTTTTTCCAAATTCGGAATATCACTGTCGGCTGGTGCAGTTAAATCACCTACCACCGTTCCTTCCTCCACGTCTATCTTGACCTTTCGGTTCTTGAAGTACAAATTCTTCTTTAAGTTCGGCACAAAGAAGAAACGCTCGGTTTCAGACTCTACTTCCGTGACGGGGTTGCACCAGTTATAGTAATCGTCCCCTTCTCGAACCGCGATGTCCACTGTCTCATTGGTCCATTTCGTAGGTGGTGTTTCTTTCGCGCTGACCAGACCTATCACCGACATAGCAAGTCCTTGAACGCCTCGACTCTCGTCTTCGAACTCTTCGTCTTCGTTAGAGATGGTACCTTGTAGGACCCAGGTCTCTCCTGCGGTACCAGGTTGGAAGTCGTGCCAAGGTCTGGTCCCAGGTATATCGTCCAAAATCGTGATGTGCCTGATGGTGAAGCGATCGTTCTTTTTAGCATGCTCCACGTTCTTCACGAACAGAGCAGCCAACGCATCGGTACTGGGAAATCTTATAACGCAACAGTTTCCTTTCTTTCTTTCTTCATCGTCCTGTTTACCCTTTCCACCTTTTTCATCGCGAATTCGAACGCCGATAGAGTCACACTGGCGAGGATCGAACATGTAGAACATGTCGTCTTGGCTCCAGATCGCCACGGACATGGCGGATGATTCGATCGCCCCTTCGCTGTTAACCAAGAAGAATTCCTCCAACGCTTGTTTCAAATTCAACACCTCTGGGATCTTAGAAGTGATCGTGCCTGTAACAGTGATCAAATCCACGTCTACCACTAATTTCCTGTCCTCCACTTCAATTTTGGCATCGTTCAAATCGGACGCAGTCATGGTCCTCATCATCGGTTTGGCAGACTTAATTTCAGCGAACACGGTGTCTCCCAATGCTAGGATCTCGTCGAGTTTTGGCCTCAGCCAAGTTTTCACAGGGTGAACCTTCTTCATGGCAATAGCCATCACACAGTTGGCCACGTTCTGTGCCCCCTTGCCCTTGTACATATCGCTGTGCTCGTGGGTCAGCCCATGGAGGATGGCCATGTTCCCAGCCATCTCCCTGAAAGTCGATGGCACGTTGAAGTGCATAGCCTCGTAGGTGTAACCGGTGTCAAAGTTGTTCTGATCCACCAAGGGATCGGTAGCGAAACGTCTGTCGATGCTGTAGTTTGAGATGGTAATCGCTAATGGCTCCTTGTGGATCTTGGCGGTCAAGGTAGCCTTCACCTTCTCTCCTTTCGGCGCCGGTTTGGTGCAGTCCATCTTGTTGTCCTCGATGTCCATGGGGTTGATGGCACGGAGGACGCTTTTGTCGATCGCAAGACGACTGTTGCTTGGAAGACGATCGACGTATCCCCGACCTACCTCGCTCACTCGCAATACTGTCACCTTGTCGACGCAGTATCTAGAATCGTATCTTCTGTCCATGTTCTTGAGGAAGTGGTCCCGAAGGTCGCTCAAGCATTTGAATCTCATGACGCAGGCCACTCCTTCTGTGTGGTGAATACCATCTTCGTCGCAGGGAGCCGGGTCGAAGAAGAGGAATCCGATTTCAGGGTGTCGCCACATGGCTATCGATGTACCCTGGGCAGTGATCACCCCAGCATCGTTGCTTTCGAAGAATTTCGACAGACCATCGCTGAAATCTGGACAGCCAACGGTTTCGCTGAAGAGGTTGCCATAGATGCCCGTTTCCTCCACGCAAACTAAGACCTTGTAATTGGCGATATAGAATTCTGGAAACACCAGTTTCGCCGTCATGTATTCGTTCTCCTTCACCCGGTTCCTCATCACGCTTATACGAAACAGTTTGTCCCCGTTTTCTAACACTTGGTCTACATATTCTTTGACCCAGTCCCTTGGCTCGAATAGACGCCCGTAGACGATGGCAACTACCGATGAAGGGGCGGCTTGTCGACCCCGGCTTCTGTACTTGAAATGGGGATGGTTCATAGCGTAAGAACCACGGAGTAACGCTGAATTCGGTGTTAGAACGCGAAATTTGTGCCATCTTTTCCCGAAATCGAACCGCTGCGGCTTCTTTTGCTTAGGAACGTCACCCTCTCCGGATGTTCCTGGAGCTTCCGCTGGTGCCTTCTTTTCGGCAGTAGCCGTAGGTACGTTTTTAGCTAGATTTAAATATATAGAAAGCGTAGAATACTTCTTTTACAATTAACTTAACCAATTTCTAGTTAAACATTGACGTTTAATGACTATTCAGAGACACTTGCCTGGTTCTGATTTGCGCATTATGAATTTTAACAGGAATTTTGCATATCTTTTATTTTTCCTTAGTAAATCATACCGAGATTGAAGCTTTTTTTACTTGAAATTTTTCTTATTCATGTCTGGAATGTGTCATCGAAGTGAAATATCGATGAAACAACGTGAAATTGAATTTTGAATCAATATTTTTAATTTTTTACAAAACACGTGGCGCCATTTACTCGTTTAACAACTAATGAGTTTTTCTATTTTACCGATAAGGAGCGCAAAAATTGCGCTTGTAGTTCTTCCCGCCAACGCCAGGTGGCGCCACACGTTCCCCGCAAATGGGGACTGCGTTCCCCCACTCCTGTTCGGCGCCTGAGAGGGGAGCTTAGCTCCCGGCGCTCATCGCTCAGGCGCTCTGCTCAGTTCATCGCCGACTGCGTCCGCAGCATGTTGTGTAGTAAGAGCTTCGCCCGAACGACGCTAGGTAAAAGCTTATTATGGTTCACACATCGTGCGGCTCTCAGCCGCAGTTTTTAAATATGTATGAAAATTTCAATGAATTCATTTCCAATTGAGCCGCTCGATCGAAAACACCCTGTAAAGAAATGGGAACAGGGCAACAAATAATAAACTTTGAACTTGTTCTCACGATATTTTTACTTAAGAGATCATGGAAATGGAGAGGCCGATAATTGTCCGTTTTCATACATAAATTTACAAGAGACGAAAGGCAAATGATGATCATTCATCACGTAGGTCAGAAAGATATACAGTAAAGCGAGTGTTGCAAAGTATATACCTAAACTTTATTACACCAACATATGAAAAAACGTAATAAATATTATAAATATAGAGTAGTATAAAGTAAAATCGAATACAACTTGCAGTTTGTCTTTATATTGTTGCACGTTGACGCAATTTAATATCGACGTTTAAAACCCTCGTTACTATCAATAAACAATCGTTGAAGACTTTTTAACAGAGTAACCATTTTTCTATGTACAAAATACGATGTACGGAAACCAAGTCACGCGCGTGCCAGCAGACAGTCGCTTTTTTTTCTTTACAGAGAGAGAATAACAATTATTCGTAAGTTGTACAGGCACAGAGAAAGAAACACGATGCGAATCATTGAAAAAGCCTATATATATATATATATATATAGTATATAACCATTGGAGTCGAATGTTTCATTGAAACGGTAACAAAATTTCGTTTACATTCATTCGTTTCCGACGAGAGAAACCCGGCGATTATAAGCAGCTTTCTCTTCAGCTATTATTGTATTTGTATTTACATAATATGGTAATATGTATATATATATACGCTTAACCTGATCTAATAGGATTATTGTAACAATTTACCAAAAAATATCTACACAGTAAAAATATATATATATTATGTATATACATATAAACACACATACACAGTATGTTGCTTGCGCGCGCACGTTCATCAGGGGCCGCGGCTTTTCAATTCATTTTTCTTTCTTTCCTCTTCTTTTTCCTCGATACAACGCAACAAACTTCTTCTACGTTATGTTTATCTCTTTGTATCTCATCTCTGAGTATATGTTTCTGTATAATATATAACGAGGCCCTTCCGGTCACAAAAGAAGCATACATCCTCCCAGTTTGCCGTGTGCGTGTAGAATATTGTTCATCCTGACGAGTATCCATATAAATGCATAGATCGATGTGCATAGCGCGTTAACGCGTTTTAGCACAAGGTTCCTCGATCATTTTTGGCTGCGTTTCATCGCGGTTATTAATATCTCGCTTTCAGCAGCGTGTCAGAAACTATCGCATGGCGCCCGTTCTTTAAGGTTTCGGTTCAGATAAAGAAACAACGTTAACGCCACATGTATATCCGCGAAGTATTTATAGACTCTTTCGTACGCTTTATCGCGGCTTCTCTCAACGACGATAATAATCACACGCGCTGCATGATTTTCTATAATACGGGTGTACAATATCTATTGCACACATTGAAAAATAATATCCGAACGATTCGTTTGAATAACACATCGAACGCTGAGGCGTTACTTAAGAGATATATCGCTACGAACCACATTTAATTCTTATTAAAATATATGTTGTATACATATCTATGTATATATATTCGATACACGCATCTATGAACATTTAACCCCCTACAGTCCAACAGGTGTGATCATGTACAATATCGTGTCGTTATTAACGACAAAGATACAATAAACTGTTTCTTAAAATTACTAATCTTAATGATCATTCGAAGAACCAACTATTTATAGTACCGTCGGGAGAAGAGAAAACAAGGTCGATTAACACAACATGGTCCATAGAGGGTTAAGAGGAAATATCGGTGGCCTCGATCGGCACAACATCAATTCGAATCGTTTAGCGGTCGCGTTTCAGTTTCGTATCACGAACGAAAACTAGCGCAACGACGACTCTTCGTTTCTTCGTTAATCATCACAGACGGAAAGAGACGTAATTACACGTAATAAGGGCCAACGGATTCAATTTCTTTATTCGCCTCGCTGCCGCGTTCATCTCCATACTGTTCATCATCCGGGTGTCGTGAAATGTCTCATTTTCTTCTCTCGTTGTTCGACCGTCAAATTCGTGAAAAAAAAAAGAAAAGCCAGAAACTGGACACCATCGTGACTGATTTCTTGATTTCCATTGATTTATTTCGCTAATTTACAAGTCGAGCCCACTCCAAAGAACGCACGTTTCCTCGAGCCAATTAGATCTCTGCACCCAGTTATCAACAATAAATCGTGCGTGCAGAAAAAGAAACCCAACAAATCGCTGTGGTTAACGTCGCTTAAACTATGCACATGATTTCACAAACATCATTCCACGGTTTCGAAAGATACATAAATCGCTCGCATTCTATTTGCATATCCTCCATCCTCCCATCTCTTCGAAAGAAACTGAGATTCATTGAAACGTTCTTCGCATGATCGATAAGCGAAGATTTCGAAAGCGTTTTGTGCTACTATAATTCGAATAGAAAATGAGGATGAAACTGAAACTCGCGACCAGGCAAGAATCAGAATGAATAATTATCGTTGCGAGTTTCATAGCAAGATGATAGAAGATCGGGGGAAGAAAAAAATCGTGCGAAGAATTTACTGCGAAGAGAATGCATTTACTTTTCTATTTCATTCTCTTTCTAATTTTCATTTCTAATGGTTTTTCTTCGCACGATTCGCGTCTCCGTCTTCGCTTATATGCGTGACAACATCTGGTGTGTGTATGTTCGTGAATGTAGAATGTAAAGACGACCTTATTCCGAGGAATTACACGAATTTCGAAATACGGGGCACCACGTTTAACCATATATAAAAAAAGTCTGTCGAAGAGAACACATTACGATGCGATACACATCAGTGTGTAACAGTCAGCCGTATTTTACAAAATAGAAGAACACCGGCATCTGATACTAATTCTTCGTGTTCGTATTAAGTATGCGCATTGTCTATTGTCGCTGCTAAGAAACAATCACACTCTCTCGCTACTCTATTCAATTATATTACATTTCCAATTGTTCTAGATTTGGTCCCACGAAATTGCACGATTAATTGTTTTATTTCTAACTATGGGCCAATTCACTTCGCTACGCGTTTCTCCTTAAAAAAAAAATTAAAAAAAGAAAAAATAAATATTTGTTTAAGACGGTATCAATTTCGAGGGAATGCTACGAGATAAAGCTAGAGAAACGATAATTGACCAATTGAAGCAATTAAAAAATTGCACATCATTCGATTGACTTTCATCGGAATAAGGCATGCCGCAGTGTAACAAATATCAGAGAACGACATCGTCTTGGTATTTTGGAAGTCGAAAGATTAGAAGACGCTCCAAAGATCGGTCAGAGGAAGGTCTCGCTGCAAACGAAATTTCGCTATTTGAAAAATAAACTTTGCAGCACGGTATCTTTTTTTTTTCTTTTTTCGGTAATTTTTTTCCAATCCGTGTCGTTGTTCAAACGAGAGAGTTATAAAAACAAATTTCTCTCTTCGTCGTTATACACTACATTTTCAACAAGACATCTGAGTGTTTCCACGCTCGTATGTAATACAGCGTAAATTTGTTTGTTGTACACCTAAGTATTTCACATTTCGGAGTATCTGAAAATAGAGATATCTAGCATTTATTTTATACACTACATTTGTTGGTAACTCTTGGATACCTCCCTCTAAGTGAATTTCATTCCATTCTGAGATTAAACTTTGATCTATCGTTATCTATCTTCTTACATCTTATGTATAAGTCGTATCAAAATCAAGAAGAAAATAGGTTTTGCGTATGGACGATAACGAACATGACGATACAAACATCTTTTCTTTCACTATCGTTCATGTTTTACACTTTTTTTTGTTTTGCTTTTTTTGCATTTTTTTTTTTCTCTTTTGTTTCGTTTTAAGGAAGTGAAGACCGCAAACTTTCGTCGAGCCTCGAGGCAAACGCTGACCAAAAGCTTGCACCACCCGCATCATCCTCATCTCGTACCACTTCTTTTTTTCTTTTCTAGTAAAGCTTTCTTATCTTCACATTGTAAGCCTAGATACGTATACATATATGTTTATATATATATATATATACATACAAAATTACAACAAAAGTAACTCCGTTGTTTGACAGCCTCTATCGCGAAACCAAAGACAGACATTAACTGTCTCGATTAGGGTGCTTGGCAAGGAATCGTCGAGGCCAGGGTAAAGGCCAGTCGTATTGTCGTGGCACCGTGCCGCCCACATTTTTCTCGAAATATTTAAAAATAGGAAACCACCAGAGCCGGGCCAGAAAGTTGTTTGGTTCGTATTGCTGCAAAAACATTTCAATATTTTCCTTTTGTTTCTTAATATATCAAAATTCTTCTTCATTTATCTTATCGTAGATAGAAATGAATTCCTTTCGTATCACCATAGATCCATATATAAAATGAATTCTATGGCAAATGTATATTATTAACGTATAGAATTATTACCATGGAAGCACAACTTACCTTAAGATGCGAATTATTAGCTAACGTATGATAAATATACCATAAGCGTGTAGTTACATAGTAAGCTATAAGGACGTCCACGGTATAATGTCCGTGAGCCACCAAGACCATGATTATCCCAACAAGAACAAGAACGCCAGCCAGCCAATGTATTGGTTGACATCTTCTCGGAGAATCTGTATTTTTAATTATCCTTTTCATTCTTATAATACACTACTTTATAACGTAAATAGTATTATTCAAATGTAGAGCTACAATTGTATGGTGTAAAGGGATCTTTATACGTACATTCCTTGATAATCAGGTAACTAAGTACAAGCACAACCGTGTGACCGCTGTAAATATAATCTCCGCAATAAGTGTGCTTGCCGTTTATAGATAAGCCGAAGCCAGAAATCAGCTGCAGTACCCTCTTGGTAACGAGAAGCGGATTCGTGTTGTTAGCTTTAGGGCTGCAAAAGTACGTTTTGCTTGCCACCGGCAGTACCGTCACGTACATGGTGATGCTTCTCATCATGTACAGCAGCCCCATCAAGAGAAATATTCGCCTAACAACGATAAATCTGGAAGGATCAAAATATCATATAATATTAACTCAAATATCTATCCTAAAATATCTATCCTAATACTCCTAATGCCGACTGAAAATCTAGAAAGCCTCGAAGCCGAAGCTTGAAAATAATAATCAAGCAGAAACTTTGACTCGTTAATGTATACCTCTGTTCAAGTTGATCGTACTCGTCGAGGGTCCAATTTTATAAACGAAACTTTCTTGTTACTCCTGAATACGTACCTATGCTTATGAAAAATAATAAAAACCATCGCTGAGTTGGACAGTATCATAATCAAAACTTCCGATACGTTGAGAGCCCAATCCTGAGCGGCGATATTGTCCAACACCACATCCGGAAGCGGGCCGTACGTGTTCCGATCGGGGACCCGCTCGTGCACCATCGCGAGGGACGCAGTGGTCGATATGAAGTTCACGAACATAAATAAAAATGCTGCAACATAAAGTGAGATAACCATTAATGTATCTTCTATTATTTATATCTACCGATCATTTTCAACTTCTTAACAGAGAAAGGTCAGTGAGCTTGTCTCGATGATACTATAAATTCATATTGAATCTTTGGAGAACAATTTAACTAATTCCAGACAATTTAACCGATGATCTATGATCGATCATGATACAGAATAGGGTTCCAGGAAATCGCACGATAAAATGCATTTAATTTAAAACAATGCACAGATGTATACATCAATCGGATAGAAATAAACTGGTGACTCAAGGATGCGGGTCGCCGGATTTAGTCGAATATTGCGCGTGCACCAGAAAATATAGGTAACGATTGTCATGGTACATTTTATTCTCTCTATCGTTGCGTACAAAAAGCTACAGCTATTCCACTTTACTCTGCTACGCTCCCTTTGTCCCACAAATTGCAAACGACCCGTTCCTCTGCCAAAAGAGTATTCTTTTCCACCTCTGTGGATCGTATCGTACACATGCATATTTTGGAAATAGAAAATATAAATCAACATCACAAATTTAATGTAAATGAAATAAATATTTTTTTTATAGAAATACGTAATTCTTTATTAATTAAATTATTTTTCATTGATTTAGGAATCGTTTTCAAATGACGCACACGCTTTGAACGCGCTGCATATTAATCAAAAGCTGCAACTCGAAGTCTGGTACCAGGATAATACAGATCCGCAAGAAATGGCAGGCTGCCAGAATTTGGCTTGCACTTTGGCTTTCTACCAACGTGGAAAATGCTTTTCGAAATTCAACCACAAAATCGTGGTCGTCTACATCCGCAAAACGTACTATCGTTCTAATCGTCGATTAGAACAGCAAACACAAAGAAACGTGTTCTCGTTCTCGTTCATTATCACGTTAGATAGCTCTTCAAAATCTGTTTAATTGAAATTATGGATATAAAACGTCATTGTTGGATCATTTAGATAGTAAGGTGAACGAATCATTTGATACCTTACAAGAAATGATATTCTTATAAATAAATCATGAACAAACGTAAAAATCAAAATTTCAAAACTCAGATGCTTAACTGATATCAAAGTTTTATCATTTCAATTATATGACGAAGAATAGACGTAAATCATAAGAAAAGATTATTCAATATAATAATCAATCATTCATATCTTGCAAATCATTTCTGTTGTCATTTTAATTAGTAATCAGTATCTTGCCCCTATCGATCAATGTTTATCTCTTGAATCTGTATCAAGATCGCAAGATTATCAATTATAGGTCTTATAAGGTGATGATTTTTCTTCAGAAATAAAAATCTCTCTCTCCCCTTGAACTCTGCTGGTTTTCACTTGCATCGTGAACTAGCAGAGACATTTGTATGTGAATCATGGCCAATGCCGAGAAATTTTGTCACGCAACGATCCAGTTCAGAAACAAGTAAGTAGCCTAACGGAACCGAGACACGAGCCGGTTCTAATAACCCGATCGTTTCAGATTCATCGTTCAAGAACTCATGATCGAGCCTGGCCGTGTTAGAGCAACCTCCGAGCAGATCTGCAGCGAAATACCAGGCCATCCGATGACCTCGATCTCGATGTACAACCCCCGTCGTGTGAACCGAGCGTACTCGAGAACCTGGCCCAGAAAGAGTAAGTACCTGCGCCAGTGCTGTCCAAGAGTTTGCCTATGTGGCAGTAGACATGTTACCCTTTCTGTCAGCACCATTTTACCTAGATTTATATTTCATATAAAAAAAAAGAAAAAAAAAAAGAAGCGGTCTATGATGGAGCAATTTTCCACAGTTAACATCAACTCCATAGAAGAACTGGAGACAGTATTCATCGTGAAAGTCAGAGCATCAATTTACCATTATCTCCTTAGCAGGGTGTCCCATAACCAAGGAAAGACGCGCGTGCAAGTCGTCCAGAATAAAAAGGAAGTGTCCTTCGTGATCCTTACCAAGAAACGTTTTCCACTTCTCTTTAGGGAAACGAGGCTCCTCCCGATGCGGAGCCGGTATGTCGAGCTTAACAACGCCATTCCCAGAGCCGTTCGGTATGCCGGGATGCCGTCCAAGACTGTCGATCTTCTCGTCCTCGTCGTCCACGTAATAATCGGAGCCGGATGCAACGCCGGCCCACTTATCCTTCCCTTTGGTAGGTGCACCAGGTAATAACGGCTGCCGTTGGTAAACGTCGCTCGACTGTGCCATCCCGTTGCTGCTTCCATCAACCGCCGCCTCGACGTCCCTCTCGTGGCCCTCACCGGCGCCCAATGGTCGATCGAAGCTTCCGTAATCACTATGCAGACTCGTGACCTTGGGGTCCAATACCATCCTGCGAACAGAAGACGACGGAGCTATCATTCGCAATTGCTTCGCCGTTCCACGTGCCGGATCCCATACCCATCCTCCACCGAGGAGGCGATCAATTTTCTAACCCTTTCGCTCCGACGCGTTTCTCGCTAAATCTCTGTTCGTTTGCCCGGATTATAACTTAGCGAAATCGTTACCTTTCGGATCCCCGATAATTACGCAAACCTTGCACCCAACCGACATATCGAAAAGCTCCCCTTTTGTTAGAAAAGCATACGTATAAGCTCTTCGGTGCGAAAGGGTTAGTTTCAACGTAATTCCTTTATTACAATTATTTTTGTTTTAGAAAAACAGCGGCGGACCTTGGCATGAAAAGCGGTCAGCAGGTATATGATGGAGTTTTTCAGATGCAAGGTAACGTTACGAACAAATATGGTATGGAATTTTTTAATCGATGCGACTGGATTGCGTAAAATATGCAAGATGGATAATGATGTTTGTTTTATTAGATAGGTATTAGAGTGGTACAAAAGGGAAACGTTTGGCGCCATCGATTCGCTATTTGCAGTCCTTTCTACTTTAAGCACTTTATTTATAGTTGTTTCTTTTTTAACAAGGCGGTGTCAATTATGGCAAGTGCTTTATGAAGATTGATTCTATTTTCCGCGTAAAATCCCACGGGTTTAAATTATCCTTGTAAGTTCTCAAGCGCAATCTTCGAATCGGTTTAAGCATAATTAACACTTTGCATACCGAGCCAACTTTACGTAACTTGTCCACGATGTAGCGCCCGAATGAAATGTTTATCATCCGAAGCACATCCTGACGTTACATAAAACTATGAGAGGATACTTTGCATCTAACTTACTAAGGATATAAACAAATGACAAAGCATCTCTAAATCGTTTATTTTCAGAATCAAATTTTAACAATCGAGAAGAAATAATTACTTTCAAAATTTTCCAATCGACCTGGCGTCGCAAAGAACAGTAAACGACACCACGCATCGTAAGAGTATTAATTTAAATGCAGATCAAGCATGATTATTTATAGACGGGATACGGTTCGTTCGATGAATTTCAAGCCACGACGATACCTTGCTTTCTCGTCGATCGATAGAATGCGATTCTAACCGGAAATCTTTCTGATCGAAAGGAAATCTCCTTTTTTTTTTTCTTTTTCCCATCTGGTCTCGAAGCAAAAATCAGGCCAGGCGAATTTATTGTTCACGTCGCGTCGGTCGTTCGATAAAACGTTCGAGCAGTCCACGTTTAACCGGATCGTTGACGCTCAACGATGCAGCCAACATAACACGTTCTACTTTTAGTTATCATCGGCCGTCGAGCAAAAGGTTATCGTGTTAAGGGTACTCGACGGGGCGCGTTTTAAAGGCAGCACCAGGCTTCGCTGAAATCCTGGATGGGCGAGGCACACCAGATATACAATATCCGCAGGAAGTTTCCGGAAAGTGCAGAGACATTCACCGGTGATAATACCCAGGGATGACGAGTAGAAACGCCGCCAGCTATTAAACTTCAACGGATATAAAAGAACGCGTTATAACGACCAGGGGGTAGAAAAGATATTTTTCACGACCTAAATCACTTCTGCATAAAAAGGATTTTATTCAATATTTCTCGAACTTATAAAATAATAGGTACAAAATGTAATTTCTTCGAGCGATCGTCTCGGCTTTAATCATACGACTCTCGTTAAATGCAACCGGAAATCGTTGAAAGACCCCACCGCGTTATCCGACTACGGTTCAAGTTTAATTAACTTCCAGGCAGGATCTCGTTCGTAACAATTAACGCGGCCCGTGCTTAAAATGCTGATTTATCTTAACACGCGAGTAAAACTCGTGCCTCCTCGCGTCAAAAGAATCTCCTCTTCGTTCATCGCGAAACGTGAAATGTGCAACAAGAAATGCAACGCGTGGGTGGTACGGAGATAAGAGGCTCCTTGTAGGCGGATCTCGCGTTCTGCGTCGAATAGAACGATAAATCCCGCGTAGATAATTCTACGTCCGTGTTGGAGACGAAGCTAGAACAGCATTGGGCGTTAGTCGAGTAACAAAGAACAAATAGAACTCGATTCGTTCGGTCGTTTCAATTTCTTCAAGTGCATCTAGTAAGTGAACATTATGCTGACTGAAAATTAAGTCTTACGTAATCTTTTGCAAATGTTTGTGCGTATTGCTGATATTTTAGGATCATATTTAAAATTTCCCATTATGGAAGTAAATATAGTTATTTAGCCTCTTGGGGGACGTTATCTGTACATTTATTTTCAATGTCACTTGTAGAAGGTAAACAGATATCTTACAAGTATTGTGTCCTATATTCATAGAGATTATTCAACGACAGCGTTCTGTCCTAGAATTTAAATATAATAGTCAAAAGAATGCTACTTAAGTTGCACACAAATAACTTCGAATTTTATATTCCTACTAAAATTCCATTTTGGACCCCATAAAACTAACGGTAATATCCTTTTACAAACACGAAAAGGAAATTTAAAGAACAATGTCCGGGTCCTCTTTTATGGGGTCGTTTCACGAAAAACTCGGAACCTGACTCGGTAAGCAGCCGAACGAACCTTTACAACCTTGGTGTCGCCGCGTTCCAGACCGACGACCCTTTTGACCCAGCTGAATAATCATTCCATGGGCGAGTCCCCGTACCGCGTGACGGAACCTCCCATAAGACCCGGCACAATTACCTTCTAACTCTTTACAATAGCCTTCACGGGTCCGTTTTTATTCTTTCTGTAATTTCGCCCAGTAAATCGAGGTATTTATCCTAGCAGATAACAGATACCAAATTACAGACGAGTACATTTAAATCCCGCCTGGCTATAAATCAGCAAGAAATTAATTTCAACATCTACAATCTCTTTCGTAGCTCCGTTTTCTCGAAGGCCGATCGCAAACGGTCGGTTGCTAAGCGAGGAAATATTTGCCTCCCTTTCAAGCGTTTCCTGAAAAATCATGCGTCAATTGCATTTCCATTTCCCGACCGTGGGTGTTCGATTCACTTCGCGTCGAATTACTTCCAACAATGAAGAATAAAATAGTGACTCAAGTTCGAGGATGTTCCTGAAATAGAATCTCCTTGATTCCTTTCAACTCGAACGCTTCTATCTAGTCTGGAAATTGGGTCATTTTTTACCTACTTCGTCGACTGCTCGCTTAAATCGCAATTCCATATTACGAAATGATTGCTCCGCGAGCGTGCTGAACGATGTACACATCGCTTCCTGTTTTCACAAAAGAAGAAATCAACGTTAAAGTACGTACACGTAAATTGTCAGTAATGTAAGTATTAAGGTACACTTCTAAAATATTGATGATCGTGTGAATTCATTCGTACGCTTAGAATGTTGCATTTGGTAGATTGAATAATATGCAGATTATAAATGACCCAGTTTCCACGTTGTGGCTGATATTTTCCAATGCCTTCGTCCTTCGGAAGTTAATTCATTTCCGGTACGATAAACAGAATCCGCGGGAAATAATTTTTCTAACTTTCGACAGGCAGGATGAAATATCTACAGTATAAATAGAAAACGAAGAAATAAATATTTTCAAACTCGTAACAAATTTCCAATGAAACAATGTACCGAAACTATTAATAATCCGGCCAGGTATTACGAAAATAAATAACACAGCGAATCAAATCTTCATTTACTTTCTTTTCCTACTTTACGAGTTTTCTTTACTTTTCGATGGAACGTGTTTAATTTCAGTTGGCAACAGTACTAAGGAAAACGTAATTTCTTATCGAGCCATAAAAACCCAAGAAATGTTAATCACGCTCGTCCAGCTTGGTATTTTATGTATCTCAACCGAGTTACTTCATTGGACACCGCAAAAGATAACGTAACGTATGATTAACGAGTCACGGTCATCCTTTTTTTTAAAAAACACATTGCGTAAAGTATAATTAATTAATACCCAAAATAATCCACGTATTATCTGCGACTTTGATACGATTTTCTTCGAAGAGAGAGGCAAACACATCAAATTAATCGGCTCGATGCAAAGGGCAATTCGAGGGAGGGATATGAACAGGAATAAACGCGATGACTCGAGGTTATAATTAACGACGAGCAGTAGTCAACAAAGAAATTATTGTCTATCGATGAGAGGCTTCCCGCCAGGGTCCCTGAACGATAGCCACGCGGTTCGTATTAGGGTTAAGCTCGAATTCATACCAATGCATTTAGTAAATTGCGAGAAAAAATGCAACGACATTCTGTCGATGCAGCAGTCGCGAAAAATGTGATTTTATTAATCCGTTTATGATTGTTCAGGCTGATCTAAGACACAGCGAAGGCGTTTCATCGAAGGTGGCTTAGAGGAAGACTTAGAACTGCAACAATATAAAAGCAACAGGTAAAATATGAAATATTAAAATTGCAAATATCAGATGTTTAATTTAAAAAAATGCAAAGCATTGTCATCTGACGATATCGTGCCTCTAGGGAATGGAAATGATTTCTATTATCAATTGCGTTTATTGCATACACGATGAGGTAGCATAATAATTCTTTCTTTTTTTTTAACCAGTTATACGAACGAGTAAGAATATTAGAAAAACGAGTTGTAACCTTCTAACGCGACAAACGATACACATGCATTATAGCATGTTCGGTGCATCAATTGCAGCAGATAAGTCGCACGTGTATGATCGAACGAGCAATATTTCCAGGGGCAAGTTAACGTCTTAACGGAAAGGTCAACTAATTCTTCGTGGAAAAACCGAACAAAGCATCGCAGCCAATTGTTCCCAAGCTTGGCTCGGGATATCCTCTTTTCATCGGCATTGCTCGATGCGAACATTCTCGAAATTGAAACCGTACGTTTCGTTCGTAACTGCAGCTTGCTTTTACTGTAATCGGTCAGAGAAAACTGCATTCCTTAGAAATGAGTATCTTTATCGGACATCGAAGTCGAAACAACTGACGCACACGAGCGGGTCTTCGAAAATATTCATCGACGCTCGTTAAAAGAATATTAAATCGTTGTAAACTGATTGTTTATTATCGATTAGCTGTTACAGATACGTTAGGTGCGCTTGGTTATAAACGTATTAGACACTTTGGCAACAAGATAACAAAGCGTGGGATGATAGGATCGTGTGTACTTTGAAAGCGTGTAGGAGTCGGAATTTGTACACGTGCGTCACTTGAAAATGATTTTAAATTAATGATTGATCGATACAAGAATTGTGAGTTATCTAATAAATATGACTCGAAAAGGTGTTCGTAATGAATTACATAATTATGGATCAAATTCGAGACGACGATGAGATGATTTGAAATAAGCTCGTCTGTTTCTTTGAAAATCAACGTGTAACGCCTGAATTACCTTCGAGTGTCGAGTTCAGCGTTTAATGGAACGTCAATTACACTCCTCTCCGAACAGCTTCTCAATTGCAGCATCTCATTTTCATCGTTACGTGAACCACCGAACAACCGAGCCTCGCCTATTTTCGCATGCAACTTCTTTCGCACGGCCTCCATCGGTACAACACTCGAGCCCAATTTGTTTCATCTACGACACCCGTCACAAATCATCCTCCGAAACAATTTCAGCACGTGGACCAGTCTGATCGGTGATTCGATCGTGCCTAATCAAGGGAATCGGGAGAAAGGTATTTAACAGTTTGATGATCGTTGCCGCGTATTCGCGACTTTGATATGAAATGAATATTCTTTAGAATGGCACTAGGAGTCGATCAAAATGAAACTTGGTGGGCGTTAGAAGATCAGAGGGAAAATTTTTAATCTCAGCTTCGAAAATGTAAATAATCGTACAGTGAACAATCGAACGCTTGCACATATCAAATCGAAATTAAAAAAAAAGATAAGATTAGATAAATTAGTAAATCCTAAAGAATGTGCTAATTGCCGAAGCTGAGATTCACTCCAATTACTTTTCATACCTATCTGAACAATTTCACCAAGTTTCGAATGGCCAGTAGTCCCATTCGAAAGTACAATGAAAAAACTATGAAATCATTAGAAGCGTTGATCATTCAACCGTCAAAATGTTAACACAAGTTTTTCGCAAATACATATACTCTGGCAACAGAACATTAAAAGAACACTGCAGCTCGATAATGCGCGAACACGATACCAAATGCAACTGTATGTACACACGATTCTATTTACCGTGCAACGGAGTTATCAGCTCGAATAACAATCGTGTCGATGTTGCGAACAGTGACTTCAAATTTCCAGGAATTAGTATTATCAAACGGAACGCGTTTGAAACGCACACCTTGGACGTTTGCTAGCAAAAATTCGAGCTGTTGGAAAAGAGAAGAAAGGCAATTACCGCGAAACTATAGAGCGAGGGAAATAATTCTACGAGTAATCCGGCATCGAGAACGAAAACAATGCAAGACTATGAATATTTATCGCGACCCCACTCGTGAATAATCGCGGCGCTTTTCACAGCGATAAAATGAGCCATATATGAGGTGCAGGGTAGGCTAACTTTGTCCCGGTGCAATTAACTTTTATCGTTCCTCGATTTACGGGTTAAGGAGACGAAGTTTTTCTCTTTCTAAAACGATAGGAAAGATCCGTTTACCGTACTCGTATAAAATACTACAGCGAGGAAAAATGAAATAGCGGGATATGCAAATGAATTACATTCTTTAGTTATATTCTAGCCTGCATCTTTGAGACACCCTATGGAATGCGATTCCACAAAGAACGAATGACAAATGGGAAATGCATCCATTCTCGTGGAAGGAGAAAACGTCATCGTGATGACGACTGTTAGAATAGATGCATTTACGTCACGAATAAGCGGCTCAGACAACTCGTGACTCATTTCCTCTTTCCTCCTAACTGATTCACTTCACCTACGACGCGTTAGACGAATCTTCGACCATAGATTCAATTTGATTCGATGAATCGTCTCGCACTTGGAACTCGTGCACGAGTCTTACACGTTTCAAACTTACAATCCTCTTATATCGACACGTAAGACTATACCTCCCGTAGTATCCGATTTTTATCTACAATATTTATAAATATCTTATAAATAATCTATACCGCGGAATAGTAGAGATTGCGTGCCATGGCTCGTGTTATCGATTCTGTTAACTCCGTGACCCACACTGTCCCTACAAAATTTGATAAAATCCTTATCACGTTACCATTAAATTTTGCTTCGCGATTAGGCAACGGTTCAATGATTTCTAAATCAGAGTACGATATAAATGGCTGGAAACTTGTGATAGAAAATTTTAAACGTCCATCGCTGTTCGCGAATGAAATAATCAAGGGTGTTACACGCGACCTAACTCACCCCTTATCATGCGCAATGAAACAAAACCCCTATATTACCTTTGTTTCTCTTGCATTAATGATAATTCTAACTTTTCCTCAATTTCCCGTACTTTGTAGAGAATATCGATTACCCCTGAGCCTTATAGACGTTGTTTAAAGCAAGCAGCATTGTCCGAGAAATTACTTTCCGACCAGTGGAAAAATCATCGAGGACACGGCCAATTGACCCGGACACATCTACAATCGATGCTAATAATTTCTATCGGGTATAGAAATGAACAATGTACGGGATGGTCGAGGAAACATGATCGATTACGTTTATCAACGTTTCAGACACGGGTTAAGAGATTAGAGGAAACGTAAGTCGTATGTAATCGTTCGTTTTGGACACGGATACGTATCTGACTTTGCGAAATTTCTGTTCAAGGAAAATCCTATTTGCGCGGAAAAGTTATGGCGTTTCGCGTCGGCGAAACGCGAGGAACGTTGGCGATAATTTTGTTCAAGTAGTTTGTTCGTTTTAAATTTATGTTCCGTGGCTAGATTTAACTAAAGTTCTCTCGACTGATCGATTCGAATTTGAATTTTCAAAAGCGGCTCGAACGTGAAAACTTATTCCAGAAATAATGAGAATGAAAAATAAGCAAGGAAATGTAAAGGACGTTATCTATTCGTATTTTTTTTTCACTGCTAACAAATGGCTTTATGAATTAACTCTTTACCTCTGCGAGTTGTTTACGTTCTTTCGAACACACCGCACCCGATAAACGCGTAACTAATTCCGACCGTAAACAGGTAATGATTATTCCTTTATGCGAACTACATATAACTGATCGTGAGTAATCGCGAAAACGTCTAGAAAACTGAAACGATTCATTCGTGCGAACAACGTTGATAAGTTCGTTCGTAGAAGGAAAAAGGGTTGATCAACATCGACATTCTTTAGATACGTGTATGTACATCGCAGAAAACGCAAGAAAATCTGTTCACCGTTACCGTCTACTTACACGTCCAGCAAAATAACAGTTTGCACCGGCTTCATGTTCGCGCGCAACGTAAATACTACAAGCCGCAAAGCTCGGTAAGTAGGCAAGAGAAAAGGAGAAAGAGACGGAAAGAGATACCGAAACAGGCGCAGAGTCTGCAAGAGAGGGAGCAAGAACAAGCTGCATTATGGTACGTAGGACTGGGAAAAATCAACGATGCAACAACGTTACTGAAAAGTAAAAACCTTGGAAATTATTGGGAACGATATTTCTGGAAATCTACATAACTGATCGAGTAAAAGTATGTATGAATAAAAATGTATCGATTTAAACGAATACTTTCACTAACAAAGGTGCATACTAATCGCATAACCTATAAATTTTATGCGGATAAGTTGAATAGTAAATACACATACAATTAAGACTTTTACCATGAGATAATGATTAAGTAATTTATTCGCGGTTTGAATGTCAAAACAGACGGATTAAATTGAAATATTTAATATAATCTTCCATTTTATAAATTGTGACAATAACAGCCCTAATGTACGACGCAGTTGAGATGTAAGGTTATTAGGCGAGAGATTCACAGGTAAACATTGAGGATGTGCCAGTAAGTTGGCGTTCGGTGATAGAACTATAAATCTCATTAAAGAAAACCATTCAAATCGTGTTATTGCAATAGAACTTTTTGATCTCATTTAAGAAAAATTTGATTCAAGATACATACTTGATATTTTGAAGAGGATATACCAACGAAGTGTCTTTATTGTTCACCGCGTTTTTTAATTCACTTCATGAATAACCACTAGCACTCATAGAAACAGATCAAACTTTGAACTGTCAGAATTTCAATAACGAATATCCAAACAGTATTTGAACGACGGATGAAATCCGAATCGACTGTACCAAGGTCTTGTGAAAGGTGCGACGCCAAAAACTCCGAATCAAGTAACGGCGCCTACCATTGCTCGGCCACGTTTAAAGATTTCTGCACAATTTACATTACCGACGGTATTTGGAAAAATGTATCGTCAAAGCCATAACGAAACTGCGTTATCCCATTAAATGTACCATGAACGATATATTTAGTGTCACTAACGCGATTACGAGTGGGCTCATCCTGTTAAATGATCGAGATACGATTGAGAACGACTTATCCTCACCGGACACTATTTTAATTTACACTGATCGAACTAGAGTCTGTATCTGACGTTTAAAGAATCGTAGAAGAGATGCTACGCCAAAAATACACTAGCAGAGCTGTAACATAGGTGAGTTGTCGAGTCGTCCAGCTCGTGCTGTTCTCTGGTCAAACCGCTAAGTGCACGTGTACCTAAAGAACTGCAAACACGCGCATGTGCAGTCGAAAACACACACAGGTGGTTCAGTGGGATCTCGCCTTTACCTTGTCGCCCTTCGACAGGCGACCGCGAACGACGATCAATCACTCGCCCCCAAAAGAACGCGCAACGCACAATACTTATAATTCAATGAAATTTTCTCTTACTATCTTGAAAATAATGTTTGCACATTTAATTGCATCCGGTATAAGGATCATTTTACAGTATGCACGAGAGGCACTCGTAATGTTGCCTCACTAACGAAACCCACGGAGAAACTACTCGAAAGGTTCGACGCATCGAAGGAAACGTGGAACACTGGACGGGTAGGAGTTGCATAGACACGGGCAGGGCCCTGCAGCTTGCATTAGGTTTTATGACTGCCAAGGTCAGCTGCTTTCCATAAGAATGGCGGCCTCTCAACGACTGCAGCTCAATTAGCAGAAAAGAACAAGCATTCGCTTGATGTGTCATGACAGTAATGAAATTATCGTCTCCTCGCGTGTGGGCTATTACCCCGTACTCTATAATTCGTTATCAACGTTGAAACCGTACTGGTATGTATGTATAAAGAACGAATTTTCTGATGATTCAACTCAATTACATTCTTACTTCGATCATCACAACCTTGTATACCGATTGTACACAAACTTTTAGATAAAAATTTGAATCCGGTTGTTATCAAAAATAACAGATGCATCAGAGCAATCAGTTTTTATAAGCAGTCCGTCTGGATATGATAATCAAATCATTAGTTGTTTTCCTGTACATTGCTGTATGTAGTTATACTTGATTCCACGTCATTATTGATAATATTCTGTCATACAAAATACATACGCGTCTCAAACATTTATGTACAATGTTATAACGATAATTTTTTATCTTAATTAAATTGATAAAATGTTTGTTCAAAATCCATATTAAGCTGAAAATATTCTCGTTAATTTAACTTGGATCGCAATGTCAGGGGAATAGTCGGATTCTAATGCTGCAACTTACATAATTAATTTAATTTCATGAAATTTGGTACTATGATGTATTACAGGCAATGTAAGCAATGGTTTCATGCTTATTATTAACGTATATATAACTTCGAAAACATACACAATGCAGATCTGTAAATCTAATAGTAATGGGATATAACACTATATCGTTAGTGCGTCAAAATATTTAAACTAATATGTATAGTATCGATACTGTGTTTCAAAACGTTACATTCGAGATTGTTACAACGGTAGAATAGGAACACTCTAATTGTATTTGAAGCGTACAATTACTCTAACTATTTTAACAGCTTGTAGAAGTCGTAAATAGAATGCGCGTTCGATAGAAAATTGTGTCGCACAATTACAGCATTGACGAGAAATAATTTCGGTCTGTTTATCGCTACAACACCATTGTCTACGATAAAAAATTTAAAGATATATAGCTTAACAAGATACTAGTATACAGTCATTGCAATAGGAAAAATTGAGAAAAACAGTATCGATACCTGTAGATCAAGTATCACCATACCTTGTTAAAGCACTGGGCAAGTCAACCTTGACAGGCAATCTTAACTTGTGCATTTTATTTCTACGTACACGCACTACTGTATGTTTTCAGTTTTTATCACTAATCAAAACGTGCTAGGGAAGCGTGCGATTTACGACAGACGGTTGTAATGGTAAAACATAACCAACAAATGTAGTTAGGACTACTTTCTTCGCTTAGACAATACTTTTTCCATGGGAGGATGCAATGGAAAGGCAAAAACACATGTATCAAAACAACACGTAAACTAACCAACAATACTTCAAAGAGGAAGAATTCTACTGAATGACTTTTACATGGACACTTGGACGGCTAATGACTCCTTTCTGGCTTGCAATCTTTCAGGGATGCTCGAAGACTAGATCTACGACGCAAACTCATTTCGCGATCACTTTATCATTTCAATTTATACGGCTGCCCGTTCGTTGTTCGTTCACCACACGCACTGTCCACATTCATAACGTTTTTATGAGATCTACTGTATCGTACAGTTCCAGAAAATTGACACTTAAATAAAAAAAAAGAAATAAAATTGAAGATGGCGTCAGTTCAAGGACCGCGAACGTGAAGAACGAAAGGGACGAGTCGAGAAACTCAAATCGTTCTGAATCATTCTGAATCCTCGTCGTATTTTCTTCTCGTACAAGCCATCAGATTCTTTAAAGCGACACACACCAAACGGCGATCATTGTAGGTAATTGAAGTTTTCTACCGACAGCTGCTAACAGTTTGCTTTATCGACTTGCAAATTGGCGGCATATTTCAAAAGAATGATAAAAATAACACTTTATTACGATGATAACATTAAATATGATAAAGCTCTACGAAGATTATGAGAAACATGCTTTAAAAAAAGTATCTCAACTATTCTACTTTTATAGAAATGTATTGAAATACACAGCATAGAATTGAAATCTTCATACATACAGTAAAAAGTAAAAAAAAAATAAAGGATAAGATTTATAGCAAAAAGTTTAAGGACTTATACATTTGTTTCAATACATATTAAAGTTATTATATTTTCGTATAGGGATTGAATAATTGAAGGGTTTCGATATTTTGATTACAAAATGACATGTACTATGTTTAGAAGAAATGCCACTAAACCAGCTTAGCTTCACTGACAAGTGTTAAAAGCGTAAGTAGCTTGGTGAAAATCCTCAATCACTTGCTTACCTAAGCAACGCTTTCCTCCAGCAGTAATCCGTTTCGATTACAAGCAGCTGTAATTTCATCATATACGTCGACGTTGCTCAAGCATATAACAATCGTCGAATGTGTTAGCCGGTGACCCGTTCGTACACCAACTAACAATTTTCTTTTTCCACCCTCGCGATTTTTATACAGGTTTCCGCTATTTGGGGCGCGACTCGTGAACGACCTAATTCACGGTTATCGATCAATCGGAAATAAAATACTTGAACACGTAGAAATGACAACTGATGTTAGAGTAACTCGATGCAGATGTTTGAAAATCTTTTGTCTCAAAAACCGTTGTACGCTGTTCGGAGTTTCGATCACCATACCATCCACACCGCGCACCAGAACATATTGCGACGAACCGTTGTTCGTTTTTTTCGTCACGACTTCTCGTTAAATGTTCTTGCGATCTCGTAGCCGTTCAACTTTCCTGCAGAAGTGTTCCACGAGTGGATACCGCGATCGCATCTCGACTTGTCTCGGTGGAACTCGAATTATGACCAAAAGAACAACGGCAGAGCTTTCATCGAGTCTCCGCTGGTTAGCCTAAGAGCGCCGCACAGGTCATTTTGAAAGGCGCAAGCGCCCCTTCATAGATCGCGCTTTTCTCATGGAACACTCGATGAACTAATGGCTACCAGTGACGTCATTGCGGAAGGGAAATTCATTCACGAATGTTCTACACCCCCGCGTCTCTAAGGCCAAGGACCTTCCCTTGGAAACCATTAGGCATGTATAATCAACGTCTTACTTCTGAACGATACTTTCTTAAACGTTTTATACATACTATGTATAATTTGGAATCATTATTATTTGTTTTATTCTTAATTTTAAATTTTAAATAATTTAAACTATTGTATGAGGTCATATTTCCAATAAGTTATGTATCATATCATTATTAATATCGATAGAGAATAGAAATATAAAATTTCTTCCATGTTATTTTATAACACAATTTTTATATTATTATGGGATTAAAGCACAAGCAATTTCAATAATAGATGTTATTTATTCACAGTATCGAACGTGATAATGAAATTGTATTACTGTTTGAATTTCATTTATTAATTTGATGTATAAATATATAAACAATATTTAAATAATCTTATCTCTGATTTAAGGATTTGTAATTTAACGTAAACTATAAATGTAATTCGTGATTGGTTCAAAAAACAAATAATGAACCAAACATAGTTTGTGTTTGAAAAGAAGGACCAATCAAATAACGTGTTTTATGTGACTATGATGTTGGTAAATGTCTACTTTATTTTAACTTTTCGTCTTTAACCTGAGGATTTGTAAGTGAACAATAATCAACAAAGGAAGATTGTAGGAAAGCTGTAGATTAATTTCCTCGTCCATACTAAATATATAGTTAATTACATAATGGTAAGTTTTCATTAGTATTTGATTATTTCTTATAATATTTGGTTAATATGTCTCTAATGAAATAACCTCAAATACAATTAAGATTTTCTTTATAGGATGTATTTCTAATGATTCGACGAAAGAATATGACGATATTTACTGATGCAAAAGATAATACCACAGTTCTCGAACTTAAGAAAATTATAGAAGGTAAGAAAAGAGTAATGTAGATATACATAAACTAAAGATCTGTAATATGACAGTTCAAAGGAAAATCATGAATTAATTTCCTTTTCTCACATTTTACTAAGTTTGTAGTATTACTGTGATTATTTATAAAATACATATTTAACGAATTAGGTTAAAAATGTATTTATTTCATAGGTATATTAAAAATATCACCTGTGAATCAGCAGCTGTTCAACAAAGATAATGTTGTAATGTCAGATAGTAAATTTTTATCTGATTATGGATTAACATCTGCAACTGCCAAAGCTCAGTGTCCTGCGTTAGTAGGATTAGCTGTACGCCAAGAAAATGGTCAATTTGAACCTTTAGAGATGACTCCATTTTCATTACCACCTGACCTACCAGATGTGATGAAATCTCAAGAATCCAATAGCCAAGAACAGTCGCCTTGAAATAACGTTACTATTGTGAAGAAGCAGATGATAAGGTGTTGAACTCAATTCAATTTTATGATTGTCAGATATTTTTAAAAAAGCTGACAGCTTAAACAAACATAATGTGAATATTAGATACATACAAGTTTATATAAATATTAAAAGTCTCAAAACTCTTTAACTTTCTTAGTGAAAGTACCAAGTAAATACTGATTATTCGATTTTTGTTCTTTTTTTTTTCTGTAAGTGATAATCAAGTACTATTTGTACTTGAATACTTGACTGAAAAGGATAATAAAATGTGAAGCTTCTAATCCAGTTCATCACTTAAATTGATTTATAATCTTTTATAGGTACTAAAATATTTCAACACTTTGTTATTAATGCTAAGATGACCAAATACCTCAGTCACAAATAATTTATGATTATAGCTTATATCTTATCTTACAGTGTTTTGTAATATTTTCAGTTTATTTATCTTTTATTTGAATACATTTTGTTAGGTATAAATTGCTGAGAGTTATTTTATTAAGCTTGGAATATGAAATATTGCCTTGAATTTTGTAAAATGTGTAAATGTCATCTATTATTTAATATGCAAAATTAAAAGATACTGATTGTAAAAACTATGAACATTAGGTTTTACTGTTATGAAATAGAAATTTGAGAATGTGATAAATTATAAATAGTGTATGTAATTTTAACAAATTGACTGCTATATTATACCAGGCATATGATTTTAAGTATAAAATATAATACTTTTATTCATCATATTTTTTATACCATAACACCTTGTTAGAATTTTATTTACATGTGCATTATTTATTTATACGAAAAATAATACACATATTTATTATGTAGGGTTATAAATTTAAAAATGACATACGGTTTATGAATACCTTACATGTATCCATGCAGTACTTGATATGTAAAATACTCTTAAGTATCTTTCAGTATCACCATTAAAATGTTTCACATATTATGTAGATATAAATTGCTTCAACTACATTATTAATTTAAAAAATCAAATGTCATTATATTCCATATTCTTGATTTTATCTAAAAAAGTTCAATATTATAAGCCTTACTGAAGAAATTTGAGAAACATAATATCAATAATATTTATAAGTACATAGTAGTAACATATAATAAATTTCCGTATCTTAAAATTGGAAATAATTATTCATGACATATAAATGGGAGGAGTTAAATTTTTATTAAATATTGATTACATATAAAGCATGTCTTATTTTAAACATACTACAATATGATTTGTATACTTGAACTAGTTTTTGATCTAAGCAATTGTTATGTTGTATTCTATAAAGAAAAAACAGACACTATTTAATATATTTTTAGAACATAATTTAAGTTATCAGATTTTTAATATTTAAAATTAGTAGTGCCTTTTATATGAAAAAAGAAAGTTAAACAATTTTTAACCATATAATAATTGTATAACAAGGTAAATATGTATTACTTTAAAAATTTCTTTTAATTTATTATCTTGGTTGCCATATAAAAGTTTAAATGAATTGTTAATGAAAATTATTTTTAATGGATATTGTATAATATTTATTTATAGTTGATTTGAATAAATTTACTAATATTGCTCAATACTAATTATAATTTTTACATTTTCTTTTTATGTATATGCATTACAATTTATAGTCAATGTAGTCTATATCCGTCTACTGTGTTTACTTATGTTATACCATTCTGTATCATATAATAATACATAATCAGTATTTAGGCATTCTTTTTATTTTTGTGTTCTAACATTTTTATAATAAATTCTGTATAATATTCCTTTTTGCTTGGTACATAATGACCACCAACATGAGTTAATGTAGTTTTATTTACAAACATTTCACTAACTTCTTCTGCCATTGCTACAAAAGAATTATTAGCAGTAATATGTAATTCATGTTTTGATTAATATATTAAAAGTTATCTTACCTGCTGAAATAACTTGATCAGCCTCTCCATATATATGTAAGGAAGGTATACTTATTTTTTCATCATAATACATTGTGTGAGGTGTGCATAATGACTTAAATCCAGATATAATAATTGCAAAATCAAATTTAATTTTCAACACTATAAAGAGACTATATTAATTAAATTTGTTATATAATTTATAGTTACTAAATTAATTATTTACAATTTTTTTGTTGCATAAAACACAGTAAAACTGCAAATGCTGCACCCTGTGAAAAACCTAAAATGCCATCAAAAGGACCAGATTCTTGAAATGCCTTTTCAATTACAGCTGTACTATCTTCAAAACCTACAGATAAATTGCTTGGAACAATTGCTTTAAATATATGATCTTCTGTATTAAACCACCATCCATATCCTACAAGGTATTTAGAATTTATTATTTCTTAATACTAAATTGATTGTATATTTATGTAATAATATTGCATAAAAATGTGTATGTTAATTTTTCATTTTTCTATTAACAAAGAGATACCTTTTTCTACTCCATCAGTACCAAAATTACTTTTCATTGGAACTTCATGCGGTGCTCTTAAAAATGTAAATTCTACTTCTTTCTTAAATCCTTTCCTCAAAGAACCTAATTTTGATTTAAAAATAACATCTGATTGAGCATATCCATGAATAGCAAGTACCTAAAAAAAAGAAATATTATATGATTAAAAGATATAAACATTTATGTATAGACATAAACACCAGTGATACAAATTCCATACTCTTAGTTTTTCAAATGAGTGACTCATATTAGTTTCCAAATAAATTATTTTTAGTAAGAAATTACAAATATTGTTACCATATAAAAATATATATACAATAAAGGTTAGCAGCACAAAACTACCTATACTTTAATACTATTTTTAAATGATTAGGAAACATTTCTTGTGATTTGGAAATGATTAGGAAAAATCATAAATAGTATTAATTTCTAATTGATTTTATTCGTAAAGTCATATCTGTATAATATATTATTTATATTGTAAATAGAATACGATGACAAAAATAGGTTAAAGAATTAACAAGAAGAGGTTAATTCTATCCTGACACTTTTTATTTCTATATATAACATATACGTGGGTATCGAAGTAAACAACTAAATGAGGTTTATGAAATTACAAGACCGAAAAATTATTAGAATAATTATTTGACAAACTTATATTTTGAAAAGACCGCCTAGTATTTTTAAAGTTCGACCACTGCGCCATCTATACAGAAGCGGCGGAAACTACTTAATAAATTACCGACTTATCGACTGGACTTCCGACAGTCGGTAATCGACCCTTCGGCAGTCGGTAAGTTAACGAATAGTTTGCGCCGCTTTTATATAGATGGCGTAATGGCCGATGGCTTGGGGTGTTAGGGACCCCGAAGCACCGGTGAAAAGTAACATGGATGAACGTCTTTACGCTTTATATGATATAAAGTCACTGATATAAATTAAAATGCAGTTTTAGTTCAAAATGATTTATTAGCATTAAACAAATCATAAATAAAACATGAAACGTATTGAACATTCAATACTGCTTTTAAATATTTCAATTTAATGATAGACTTCTTAATTTTTCTTAAGAAAATAACAAAGTGAATACTAGGTATTCCCATTTTTCTCGGAGATGAATCCGATAATATTAAGAAAATAATATTTCCTTTTACTTTCAAACGAAAGTATTATTTTTAAATACAAAATAGGTCCATCCTTTACAATATCCTTAATGAAACAATTAAATATGGACATTTAAAGATCACTGAGATCAACAGCCTGCACTTGTGCACTAATATTTTCATCATTTTGTTGATTTTCTTCAGCTTCTGCTTCACTTGCTCTAGGAAAATTTAATTTTGGCCATGATCCAGGTTCAGCTTTTTTCAATTTAATTTCTACTTTAGTTGGAAGCATATTAACACTGCTTTGTGTAACATCAACAACCTACAAAAACAAAATTTATATACATTATTAATGTGTAACATTTATTTAATACTAACTACTTAAAGATCTTAGATACATACCCCTCTCAATTCTAAATCAAGATTATATCTAGAGTTTTCTTCAATAAAAAATAAATCCAGAGTTAATCGTATAGGATTCAATTTAACAGTTGATTGGTCTGGTTGGTATTTCTTTGCATAAACAGAAATTACAATGAATGTCCCTGTTTGATGCCAATCCATTCTACATTTAACTTTTTTACCAGTATTCTAAAACATTATTATTGTTTTAATTTTAAACCAATATTCCTTTGGAAAATTGATGTATTTTTGACTAAAATAGGTAAACCTCTATGTGAATAAATAATCAGTATTTAACATACCTCAGAAATCCATCTATGTGTTCCTTGTGAACATCCTGGTTGTTCTAAGAATGTGGAAAAATCTGTAGTTTTCTTTTGACAACAAGACCAATATTTCAATCCTTCATGAAAAATAGGAAACCCAGGATGATGATTACATACTTCATTATCAGACGCAGGACCATTATATGTAACTTTACATGAATTGTTTTTACAGCTTTGTCCAATTTGAACTTTAGTTTGTGGCACATTTTCTGATACAGAAGATGTTAACCCTTTAATTTGTTCTAATAATGCAGGTGATATATTAGGTTTCAAAGTAACTTGTGGAGTCTCAAAAGGAGGTCTTTCTAACTTAAGCTGTTTTTCAATGTAAATGTCTTGAGCTGTTACTTCAATTACTTCATTAGTTTTTGATTTGTCAACAGCAGGTTTTTCTGGTTCTGGTGGTTTAATATTTGAATGGCATGATTTTGTACAGCCTTTAATGTTCAAAAACTCTGTGAAATCTGTACATTTTTTGTTGCAACAAGACCAGCCTTTATATGCATCATGAAATACTGGATGACCAGGATGATGAATGCAATCTCCTAAAATAAATGCGATATAAATTTTCACGTGATACATAATATTTCCAATTTTCGAACAAACGAATAATTGCTTTTTACGTTATCCTAAAGCAAGTATGCAATACTGATCAACATACCTTCTTTATTATCATTTGGATCAAACTTTTTTCCACAACCACGATTATAACAATGCAATAAAGTTGTTTCTTGTGACATTTCTATCTCTCTTTTACTTTAAATTAGATACATAAAACAGTATACGAGCAGAACTACTTCAACTTCTTAAACTGCTGCAATGATTCTGACTAGTAAATACGCATTGACTATAATAATATTGCAGTCCAGAAAAACTGCGAAAAACTTCTAGCACATTCTAAAGAACCTAACATCACTTTCAAGTGCGGCATCTACAAAATTCGAATCAATTGTTATGTATACGTTGTCATAAAGAATACTATATTAAGAGGGTTCTACTAACATTTGAAAAAACTATTTAACAAATTTTAATAAAAGCACAAGTTGTTAATAAAGCATTGATAGTATTTCATAAATGTCGAGCTTTAGTCATCAATTATTTAATAACAAATTAAAACATGATAAACGTTAATCATTTCATTAAAGAATTTTATTTATTCAAGAGAATATTAATTTTATCTAATTATATATTTCTAATTTTACAAAGTCACAATTAATCATCACTCTGACATAAGGCAACGTTTCTATGTATTGTATACTTATGGAGGAACAGTTTACATTAAGTATTTTGGTTAGTTTGTATATAATCCAAAATTAAAAAGAAAAAAGATGTGTCTAATATGAAACATAATCCTCAAAATACAATAATAAATAGTATTCAAGTATGAAATATTACTAACAAATATGGACATCCGAACCACACTGTTAATACATTACATATTTTTTATTGCACAAATCACTTGTATGTATATGATGTCAAATGTTTATTACCTTGTATTGCATATTAATATTTCATTTGTTAATGTATGTTGTTAATTTTATTTTTGCAGATGGTCTTCATAGAAATTTAAAATATTATGAAACCATTCATGCATCTCATTTTCAACATAAGATTGTAAAACGTGGTGTCCAATATAGTTCTCACCCTTACAATAAAATAAATGAATTGGAATTTTATTCTCATGGACGGTAATAGCCTTACATTGTTGTCATTTGTAAACAGTTGCTTTGTATTAGACAATACATATTATTTTTTGTGTAGGTATTTTCGTTTAATTCTGACACCAAGAAAAGAAGTCATTCACTCTAAATTTAAAGCATATGAAGTAAATGGTAATGGAGAAGAAAAAACTGTACATTTAGGTAAAGTAGTATATTATTATATACAAATATATTTGATATTGAATTTCTCAAAACAATTTTGTTTCTTAAGATCATGAGAGCTTTTATCATGGACGTGTATTTGGAGAAATAGATTCTCATGCACAAGTACATATTGATAATGGAGTTATTACAGCCAGTATTACAATTTCTGATGAAACATTTCAGATTGAGGTATACAACTATTCAAATAATGGATTTTAACATGAAATAATTCAAATTATTTCTTTAAATAATGATGTATTTGTTTTGTTACAGCCATCTTGGAGACATTTGCCTCATTTAGGTAATGAAACAATGATTGTTTATAAATCATCAGATGTTAAATTTAGTTGGGAACATTTTGAAAATGGTGAAGGTCATACACATGGTGCTCCAAAAACTTGTGGATATGTAAAAGAAGAATTAAGTTAGTTACTTTTTCTTAAGTAAATAGTTCTATTAAATGTTACGATATTTTTACGTAAAATTTACATTGCAGACATTCAAATAGATGATGAGGAAGAATTTAAGTTGAAATCACGTGAACATTTCAGAACAAAAAGGCAAACAGAAACTTATGAATATACTCCAACAAAAACAAGATGTCCTTTATTGCTGGTTGCTGATTACCGTTTTTATCAAGAAATGGGCGCTAGTAGTACAAAAACTACAATTAATTATTTAGTAAATAACTACTCTAAACATTGTAAAAACTTGTAATTTTATTAAGGTCATTTTTAAAATAATTGGTTTGCATGTCGCAGATAAGTTTAATTGACAGAGTTCATAAAATTTATAACGATACTTTATGGCAAGAACGGCAAGAACAGGATGGATTTAAAGGAATGGGTTTCGTCATTAAGAAGATTGTAGTTCATAGCGAACCAACTCGTGTAAGAGGTGGCGAAACACACTATAATATGGTTAGAGAAAAATGGGATGTACGCACTTTACTCGAGGTAAAATTGAACTTTTATTATCATTATATTATATGAGTCTTTTTTTTTTAATTATAACAGTGTATTTTCAGATTTTATACAATTTATATAAATAATATTTAGGTTTTCAGTCGGGAGTATAGTCACAAAGACTTCTGTTTAGCTCATTTATTTACTGATCTCAAATTTGAAGGTGGTATATTAGGACTAGCGTATGTCGGATCTCCTCGTAGAAATTCAGTAGGTGGCATTTGTACACCAGGTATATTTGATAAATGTACATTTAATTAATATATGAATTGTGTTTAATAATATCTTATTTAATATTCTTACATTATAGAGTACTTCAAGAACGGCTATACATTGTATCTTAATTCAGGCTTAAGTTCTAGTAGAAACCACTATGGTCAAAGAGTAATTACTAGAGAAGCCGATTTAGTTACCGCACACGAATTTGGACATAATTGGGGTTCTGAACATGATCCAGATATAACAGTAATTTTGTTCACATTTATAAACTTTGTATTTCATACGAAAGTAGTCATACTTCTAGCATTCTAAACAAGTTATATTTTTCTTAACAGGAATGCAGTCCAAGTGCTAGTCAGGGCGGTTCTTATTTAATGTATACATACAGTGTTAGTGGATATGATGTGAATAATAAGCGTTTTTCACCGTGTAGTTTAAGATCTATTAGAAAAGTATTACAAGCAAAATCGGGTCGCTGTTTTTCCGAACCAGAAGAATCGTTTTGCGGTAATTTACGGGTCGAAGGAGACGAAGAATGCGACGCAGGATTGCTAGGCACTGAAGATAACGATGCCTGCTGTGATAAAAATTGCAAACTTCGTAGAAGTCAAGGAGCAGTTTGCAGGTAATTATGTATTCATTATTAACATTTCTGTAGGACTTTTAATAAATCATATTTATTGCAATGTGTTTTTTTAGCGATAAAAATTCACCGTGCTGTCAAGGTTGTGCATTTATGCCAATAGGTGTAAAATGCAGAGATGCACAATATGCTACCTGCGAACAAGAATCACGTTGCACAGGAGCATCTAGCGAGTGTCCTAGATCTCCTCCAATGAAAGATGGCACAGGGTGCCTTGAAAGAGGTCAATGTAGACTTGGAAAATGTGTACCATATTGTGAAACACAGGGTTTACAAAGTTGCATGTGTGATACAAGTATGAATTTCATATGTTCAATTTAACATATATAATATAATATAAAATATGTAACTTTCTAATGAATTTTTCTTTGTAGTTGGAGATGCATGTAAAAGGTGCTGCAGGATGAGTTTGAATGAAACTTGTTTTCCAATAGATCCACAGGATATCTTACCTGATGGAACACCATGTATTCAAGGTTTTTGCAATAAGGTAATATAATTAACGTATATTTTGTAGTATATTCCGTATATAAAAATAAAAGTTAAAAAATATGTCTAGGGTGTTTGTGAGAAAACAATTCAGGACGTAGTAGAGCGATTTTGGGATATTATCGAAGATATAAATATTAATAAAGTTATGCGATTTTTGAAAGATAATATAGTGGGTGCAGTAATAATTATAACAGCCATTGTATGGATCCCGACAAGTTGCGTTATTAGTTACATCGATCACAGACGTGTTAAAGAAAGTGAAAAGAAATGGCGTTGGAAACATACGGACGAACTTATTCATCCAGATGAACAGAGACAAGTTATTTACATAGGTGGACAACGTCAAAGGATACCACAGATTACGCAACAATCATAAATATTTATTTATATATATATTTGTAAAGGAGTTATACATAATGAAACTTCTAGTCACAAATGTTTTAATTTTTTATCTGTTTTCCATTTATTTTGTATATAGTTAAGGGTTTTAATATATACTATTATGTTAATATCTAATATAATTTATAAGAATGTTCTTATAATCCCTACATTTTTTTCATCCCTACATTCCTTACATCTCTTCATCCCTTACATCCATGCATTCATTACATCTCTTCATCCCACACATCTCTGCATTCCTTACATCTCTGTTTCCCTTACATCCCTGCATTCCTCACATCTCTACACCCCTTACATCTCGGCATTATTCTCATTCCTGCCTTCTTCATATCCCATATTCCCTTACATCCCTGCATCCCTTACATCCCAGCATTCCTCACATCTCTACACCACTTACATCTCGCCATTCCTCTCATTCCTGCCTTCTTTATATCTCAACATCCCTTACATCCCTGCATCCCTTACATGCCTGTATCCTTTACATCCTTATATCACTTATATTCCTGCATTCCATACATCCCAGTACCTCCCTGAAAAAGAGTTGAAATTTTTACGGCTATAAGGCCTGCGATTTTACCCAAATTTAGTTCTCCCTTTCGCCACCAGAGGGCGCTGATTCGACATCGAAATTTTAGTTCACATTTTTGCCGCCAGAGGGCCAGAAACGGAGCAAACCATGGTTCCTTTTTTCGCCGCCAGATGGCGCTGATCGGACATCGTCATTTTAGTTCACATTTTTGCCGCCAGAGGGCCAGAAACGGAGCAAGCCATGGTTCCTTTTTTCGCCACCAGATGGCGCTGATCGGACATCGTCATTTTAGTTCACATTTTTGCCGCCAGAGGGCCAGAAATGGAGCAAGCTATAGTTCCTTTTTTCGTCACCAGAGGGCGCTGATCGGACATCGAGATTTTAGTTTACATTTTTGCCGCTAGGGGGCGCTGTTTCTCAAAATTTTCGCGAAATTCTAAAAGGAACTAACTTACCTTTACTCGAAACAGTCTTTATAATATATTTATTATACGGAATGTAGGGATGATAATAATGTAGGGATTTAAGGGATGAAGAGATGTAAGGAATGTAGGAATAAAAAGAATGTAGGGATTTAAGGGATGAAGAGATGTAAGGAATGTAGATATGAAAGGAATGTAGGGATGAAAAGAATGCAGGGATGTAAGGGATGTAGGTATGAAAGGAATGCAGGGATGTAAGGGATGCAGAGATGTAACGGAACGAGGGATGTAAAGGAATTCCGTAGGGGTTCGGGGCTGGGGTCCCGGTGTCCACTGCACGCGGCCCGAGGAGT